GACCATCTGTGCGAGTTGAAAAGAATGCCGATGGCCTGGATTTGCATTGTGAACCAGTTAATGCGATGAAATTGTTCACCCTAAAGACTTCTGTGGATGTTAAGATAAATCAGCAAGGGCTAGATGACAGCTTAAAGCCACAAGTCGAGAAATTACTAACACTCTATAAAAGCAAAACGCCTGAAACGATTACAACAGGTAAAATGACCATTCGATTAAAAGACAGTACTCCGGTTTCATACCGTGCACGTCGTTTAGCACTTCAAGAACGAATAGAAGTTAACAAAATAATTGACGATCTTTTGTCTAAAGGAATCATCCGAAAGAGTCGTTCAGAATATGCCAGTCCTATTGTTCTAGTTAAAAAGAAGAGCAATGAAACAAGGATGTGTGTTGATTACCGAGATATAAACAAACGTGTTTATAAAGAAATATACCCCCTACCCGTTATCGAAGAACAGGTGAACTCATTGTCTCACGCCAAATACTTCACTACACTAGATATGAAGTCTGGTTTTTATCAAATGGAAATTGAGGAAAGTTCCAGACACATTACGGCGTTTATCACACCAGATGGGCTCTATGAATTTAACCGTATGCCTTTTGGATATGTCAATGCCCCGGCAATATATCAGCGAGCAATTGACGAAGCTTTGGGAGACCTGAAAGGTAATAAGGCTTTTGTCTACCTTGATGATGTGCTCGTGCCGTCGCCGACAATAGAAAACGGCTTGCAATATCTGGAGGAAGTGTTGAGTGCTTTGGCTATTCATGGATTTTCCTTGAACTATGAAAAGTGAAAATTTTTTGAGAAACAGATAGAGTATCTTGGTGTCCTATTGAGTGAAGGAACAATTCGCCCTAGTCCGAGAAAAGTGAATGCGCTAAACCCAATCACCTTCTCCGACAAGTGTTAAAGGTATTCGCCAGTTTATGGGACTCGCGGGTTATTTTCGCAAGTTCATTAAAGACTTCTCCATCATTACGGCTCCAATTACGGCTTTGTTACGAAAAAATGGACAAACTGACCAGTTCTCCTGTATTACGAATGTTCAATCCCGCCCTGAGTTGTGAACTTCACACTGACGCGAGTTCAGTGAGACTTGGCGCTGTGCTGCTCCAAAAAGAAGACGGTGTTTCGCGACCTGTCGCCTATTATAGCCGTCGGACGACCGATTACGAATCAAGGTATCACTCGTATGATTTAGAGACACTTGCTGTAGTGGAAGCTGTTGAGCGATTTCGAGTTTATTTGTACGGAGTGCACTTTGTGGTGTACACTGACTGTAATTCAGTGAGAGCAACTGCTTTGAAGAAAGACTTACACCCCCGTGTAGCACGTTGGTGGATTAAGTTATAGGACTACGACTTTAGCATCGAGCATCGTCCCGGAAGTAAAATGGCTCACGTGGACTATCTGAATCGAAACCCACCAGAGGAAGAATCTGCTCTGAAGGTGTTCGCTTTGAAAACTATAAACGTGAGTAGACTATCAGATGTCAAAACTTTGCGAAGTTTTCAGGAGCAAGACACATTTTGTTTTGAAATCCTGAATAATCCAGAAATAAATCCCAACTTTATTGTAAAAAATAATGTCGTTGTGACCAAGTCAAAACCCCATAAGTGTTTTGTTCCCATTGAAGCACGCCTTTTGACAATGAAACTATATCATGATGAATCATCACACATTGGTTTCGACAAATGTATAGCCAAATTACGGGAGGATTTATTTTGGCCAAAAATGGGCAAATGTTTGAAAAAGTACATTAGAAACTGTCCAGCATGTGTACTAGGAAAATCACATACCGGTCGCAGAGTAGGATGGTGGCAGCATGGCGAAAAACCTGATGATATCCTCCACACTTGGCACATTGATCATGCAGGACCTTTGATAAAATCAAATGGATGCACGCACATCTTGGTAATAATTGATGCCTTCTCTAAATATTGCCGTCTCCAACCAATCCCAAAGAAAACCTCTGAAGATAGCATCCGTGCTTTGTTACCAGTTTATCAAGAGCTGGGGACCCCGAAACGCATAATAGCTGACAGAGCAGCCGCATTCACATCGGTGACATTCCAGAATTTCCTTAGTGAGCAAGGAGTTCAGTTACATCATATAGCGACTGGAATGCCTCGAGGAAATGGACAAGTAGAGCGTGTTATGCGCACATGTTTCAATTTACTGCAAGCTACACTTATGAGTGAAAATGAGGAGCAGTGGACAACGATATATTGCCAGCTATAGAAGAGGATCTAAATAACACAGTCCATTCGACAACTGGTTACGCACCTGCAGTACTCCAACTGGGAAACAACCCTAGACTGTCAGCGACGCAACAATTTTTAGGAGATGCGCCGGTAGCGGATAACTTCATTGATAGCGACGAAGCTGTAGGCCAGGCTCGGATTCGTATTGAAGATGAAGGAAAAAAGAACGCTCAACGGTTTAAAGCAGCTCGCTAGCGGACAAGTTTATTTGACATTGGGGATCTTGTGGCTGTCGAAGACTCCCAGTTAGCTGGAGGCGGAAAATTGAAACCGAAGTTTAAAGGACCCTTCACTGTCCGAAGCGTCCTTCCTAACGACAGATATTTGCTAGGCGGAAAAGGACGACGTACTACAGTAGCCGCTCATGAGCAACTACGACGTTGGCCCTCCCAGAACTGACATAATGAAAGTGTACGTAGAATACAATACTCGTATCATGAATCACACTTTCAGATAAGGTCTGGCTTTTAGCAGCAACACAAAATGGTTTGGTGCTAATCGCAACAGAAAAATTCTAACTGTGTATAAAATGTTGATGAATTTAAAAAAAATATTTCAAGAGTTTCATATGTCTGACATTTGGCAGCATCTGAATGCATACGAAAGATTAAATAACAGAGAAGATAGTAAAAGGAATAAGTCATCCTTTTTTTGATTGTTTTCTCGTATTTGTGTTTGAATTTTGTTACGATCAGATAAGATCTGGCTTTCGACAGCATCAGAAAGGTCTGGCTGTTGATCGCAACAGAAAATTTCTGACCGTCAAAATAAGAAAAAAAAATATAAATTAAAATAAGAGTGGTGTTGTCACTTTCAGATAAGGTCTGGCTTTTAGTGGTAGCAGAAAGGTCTGACTCTAATTGCAACAGAAAATTTCTGATTGTGTACAAAGTACTGATGAAATTTAATTGAAAATGTTTTAACACATTCAAATTAGGTCTGACATTTGGCAGCATCTAATTATATATAAAAGATGAAAATAAAAATGATACAGATGTTTGTATTATTTCTGAGGATTGTTACGATCAGATAAGGTCTGGCTTTTGACAGCAACAGAAAATGTCTGGCTGTGAATAGCAACAGAAAATTTCTGATCGTGTGAAAAGAAAAGTAATAAAATGAGTTCTAAAAAAAAAATGGTGATAATAATTACGGAAAATGTCACATTCAGATGAGGTTTGGCATTTAACGGCACCAGAAAAACCTGGATGTTAAACGCTGTTACTGCATAAAAAAAATAATATGTCTGGTCTCAATTGTGAGATAATAAAATTGTCATGCACAAATTTTGGCTTGGTGTTTGTTATTCCAGGTGTGGTGCGTGGACGCTCCACTTATCTCGGATGGCCGTGTTAGCGGCGCCGCTGTGACTACCCATAATTCCCTCTCAAAAGGGTGAAATGATATCGTTATCTTCTGCGACGGAAGGAGAAGCACGAGGGGTCCGGGGACGACTACTACCTGCGGTCCCTCGCAGGTAGTAGCGAAGATGACGACAGTCACGTACCTACAGCCAAACAAATTGTGCCTAAATACGAAGTAAATGGTGGTACTCGGAATAAAGTATTGATTGGGGATAGACGTGTCTTTTTTTGGGGTAAAAGCCAAATCAAATCTACCCCGTTTCTTACATATATATATATATATACAATGCTAAAGAACCGAGGATACCTTGTTTGAGTATGATAAGCGCAATCTGAAATATTTTCCAAATATTACCCACATACAAGTACTGAACTATACTGTCTACCCTCAAGTAGTCGAACGAGTAACTAGTCACTTAAGAAGTTGGTGTGTTGTTTCATTAGGCAAATACGGAGAAATCCATATACCACTGCCATCGCAATGTGTAGCGTGCAAGACGTATGTTAGAAAGAGATAGAAGCAACACGTTGCCTAGCCACCCGAGTGACTACGAGGTCATGGATGCCCCCTGATCGGGAATATTACTTTCACAGTAGTAAAAGACTCCTTGTCTTAATGTTTTTTGCGTTTTTTCGTTTCTCTGTTTGATGGGCCTGGTTCATTTTCACTTGAAACTGAATAGTCAATGTCCATTATAAACAAAACCCGTATTATAAACTAAATTAGCGAATATAGTAAATATTCAAAATATCAGCGTATAAAACACACGTGGAGTGGACTCTTAATAGTAAACCAATGGCTAATGCAATAACGAAGGGGCTCATGCCATTCTTCCCCGGCACAGGGAATCTTATAGCTGTTGTTTTGTGAACCTAAGTCCTTTTTACAATTTAAGAAGCTGATTACAAGATAGCATCAGGAAAATACCACCAAAATAAACTGAAAGCTCAATTTAGCCAAATAATGGACTAATGCCGTTTTCCCCAGTACCCTTCAATTGGTAAAAGTTCTCTTATATGCATATCTTCAATAAAAAGAAATCTCGACGTTCTAGAAAAGAAACAAAGATGTATTTTAATTTCACATACTTAGGAATTAAAAAAATAACCGTTGGAAGGGGAAATAAAATGTTAAGCTCCGCAGGCCTGTGTAACAAAAAAAAAAGACAATGACCACAAAAATCTCTTAACAAACCGTATTTGCATTCGCATATTTTTTCTTAGCTAACCAATCACCACATCGTGTCTGGAGAAGTAATGTAATTCGTCAGATCTCCGACTAACAAACATCGGATAAAAACTAATCCAGTGGACGACTGACCCAGGAAAAGGATATACAAAAGTAAAGTACACTAGACATCTTACCAGGTAGGGGCACTTCTAGATCAATCTTAATATCAAAATCGTGCGCCGAGAAGAGATCATCCTGCGAGACTTGCGCCGGTTGGGCTGACTTTTTTGCGACTTCCCTTTGCGTCGGAGCCTCTTCTTTCTTCTGTTCCACTGGTGTACTAGCAGCTAAAGCCTCTCTAGCCTCTTTCTCGCCAGCTTTGAAGTTCATCCTTGGCTTTGTGGAACGTCTCGTGAACGGGTCATCAGCCTACAACCATTTTCAAACTTAAGATTGAACAAATTGCATAGAAAATTAAATATACAAATCATTCAAATATAAAAACGAGTCGGCCATCCAAGAAAGAACATCTTTCACTAGTCACTATAGCAAACCAGTACTTTAAATACATGAAAGACTAATATTCCTTCAAGTCTAACTGTAAGTTCAATCAACTCACCAAGTATCAAACTAAGCGAAAGTTTAAAATGTTTTTCACGAGTATCCATTAAAACTGGATCAGAGCGCATTTAGAATTTCGTAATGAGTTCAAGATCCTTGGCGTCATTTTTGATAGAAATTGGGATTCAAGAGTCAGTTTAACACATGAAAGTATCTGTTTTTTAATTCTTTTAAGCTGTTAATCGTTTCGTTATCAGTGAATTGTCTATTATCGTAGAGTAAGGCCCAATTTCACCAACAACAGTCCGTTATTCTCCACCTATAGGGTAACAGACCGTCAGATACAGCGAATGAGCTTCAAGTTCCAATCAGCAAATTTTAGCAACCAATAGCTATGGAATGATTAAAACAAAATACTGTCAAAGTATGAGATGACAACTTGTCATTGAAACATCACCAGCTTATTGAATATTAAGAAATTACATATAATTCAGTAAAGATTTGAAGAAATGTTTGATTTTTGAATTAAATTCATGTTTTAATTTCTATTGTTGATTTTTTATTCATGTTTATATTATTTTCTTCAATTGATATGTGATACTGCAGATAGCCATTAAGCACCTACTTGATGACAGGATCTACCAAAAGATATTGCTCGTTTCCAAACATTCATTCCTTTACTTGCCGTTCATCAGAACCATTATGGCACCTTAGATTGATATTCCCACAAAACCATTCAGGTTTTATGATATCCATAAAGTTGAATATTTTTCGTTGTTCAGGAACTGAACAAACATCCACACTATATTCACAGCGATTAATAAATTTCCAAATATACGCCTTAAAGCTACCATCAAACCTAAAACCTGCAAAAAAAAACTACAAATTTGCCATATTTTTCTTTTTTCACGAGTACACATTCTAGGTTATATTTATATTAGACATTATTTGAATACAGCTGATTATTGCATTCCAAGGAGTGACACATGTGTGGGATCTGTCAACTCTTGGTACCAGTCACAAAACATATTATACTCTGAAGGTTTAATTCCATGCTATTAAATGACAACACGGTGACTTGTGTGGTTATCAGCGGCCATTTTGTGAGGGTGCGACAGGGTTGCCAGATTGTGCATTAATATCCCGTTTCACCCTACTGGTCCCAGTGGAGTAAGTTCCGCCAACTGTGGAAATATACTATCCTTTATAAGACTATTCGTGACATTTTTCCCAAAATCATTGCACAACACTTGAAAAAATGCAAACGAAAATTTAAAATTATTTCCTTGACGCCGCAATATAGCTCCGTCGGTACCTTAGGTTATACATCTTGACAGTAGGGATGTTCGATACGATCCTATATTTAGAAGTATCAATACATTTCACGAGTATCGTCATCTTTCGACCCGGACTGTGTCAGAAAGAGTGACTGCCATTTGGCTGCGACATTACCCTGCCAAATCAGACATATCTTTCATCATTTTCAAATAAATTGTACAAAATCTTCAAATTTGTGAAGTTAGTGAGTTTCACTTCATACGTTGTTACCAGACATGCCCAAATCATCAGTTGCTGCCGTGATATTCATTCCGACCACTGCATCCCCACGGCTAGGCGACCTGAATGTTAAATTTTGGGCACTGATTGCAACGGTTAGATGATACCAAAAATATTTTCATAAATAGGAGATCTTTCCCATTCCGGATCGAACAATCTACCAAAGATGCTTATAATCATGATACCTAGTAAAATTTCACGAAAAAATTCAAAACCAGCAAATGTAAAAGATTCATTTCGCATCCTCCACCACGGGACGTGATCGTCGTTAGACTTGGCAACCCTGAGAGTGTCAGATAGATATATCCCCGCCAGTCAAAAAAGAAAAATAGACAAACAATAAACATTACTAGTTTTTTTGATTTTTGGACTTAAAGCCATTATCCGTGAAACATTTTTCATATTTTTTTATCTATGTCCATAGTAATTGCATTATGCATCAGGGAGATGTAGGGATTGACACGTCTTACAAATATTATCTGTGTTTTAGGATGGAGAGGACATAATGTTTTTATTGCTTTGAAGAAATTCATTATCCCATAAATTAATAAATGATTACTATTATGACGTAAAGGAAGATGAGGGATTGGATGGAATGTATTTTATATTCTATTTTCTTGCAAAATACAGACAAATCCACACTATTCAACAGGTATGTAATGATAACTTTCAGAATATTGAAGTTGGTAAATTCAAGAGTGCCATGCATTAACAAACGTCCAAATCTGGTGCCAAATTTAACAGCTAGAAAATCGACCTATTATATGCCGCATTCCCATTCGCTGAGGGGGATAACGGATTGTGAAATGTAAACCTATAACATATATCAAAATACCTGAAAGTTGTCCTGTTTTTTCTGTACAAAAGCATCATGTTGGAATCAAAAAGTGGTCTTGTTTATAATACAGTCGAATTTTCACGATTTTATTCAATATTTCAATAGAAATCACTAATATTCAGAGACCTTTGACAGCTTCCGTCAAATTGCATTTCGATAAGGTATTTTCCCATTGGTCCATAATATTAATGTTGGTGAAATTGGCCCTAAATGTATTTTAATTTCAGTTTTTATTCGAGTTTGAACGTATGGATAATTTCTTTTTAAGATTTTAACCATTTGTCCTCACTGCTCGATGTTGATTGTGTTTATATATTATGTATTTGAAACAGATTCTCCTACCGTTTTTCTTTGTATCAGCTTCAATGATTTCTACCGGCTAGACGAACATTTTTTATGATAAAAGTCGCTGTATATGTATATATTTTTACCGTTACAGATTTAACACATTCCGATTATTGTGATTTAACCTGTTAAAATGTTTTTTAATTGTAATGTCCTTGTTTATTTTATATTTATAAGTATTTTTCCGGCATGTTTGCTCAAACGCATATATGACCTTCAAATTCATATTGACAAGTCTTATATCATGTAACATGATCTAATAGGACAATAAACTATCTATCTATTTATCTCTATCTATGTTTCTGGCATATTACGAAAATCTTTTGTGAAATTACGCGTTTTATATGCAAATAGACGTGTTCTGGCATCCGCATTACAAAAAACCAACTGAAACACTTGTTTTATCAATTATTAATTACTGTAATATTCTTTATCCGCCTTGGTTCGATCATCTCACCAAAAGGCGTTTGCAAGTAGTGCAAAACAACTATGTCAGATTCACATGTGGTTCAGGAAAATACAAAAATGCTTACAACATGCTTGGGTCGATGAATCTGGAACCCGACTACTTTTCATTATTTGGTCTTTTATAATAAAGTGCTCCAAATTGGTAAGAGAACAATTAATTTTATTTAGTGAAATACACAACAAAACCCAGATATACATTGAATATTAGAATACCCCATCATTGCACCTTGCTTTTCCAATCCTCATTTTCCTATAATGCTGCCAGTCTCTAAAAAAGTATTTCTGTTTATGATAAAATCATGAAATTTATCATGTTTCAGTAAGCATGATGGTTGTACTTACAGAGCCCTGCATTATAATTTTCCATTTGTTTGTTCACTTTTGCCTGTGCGTTTATAGGTATTTAAATTAATGTTGTTTGATATAATTGGTTTGAATACTGATGTACGAAAATGCAACAGAAAAACTTAAATGTTTTTATATCTTTTACCAACTTGATTTCGTATTCATATGGTTTATTGTAAGAAAAGTTTTACCTAAACATTGCCATAACGAATCACGCTTTTGTAGCTATGTTAATAAAGGCGATATTACCGATATTACTGTAATTATTATTGTAAAATACCCCATATCGACAAGTGACACATAATTCTGACGATCTGCTAACGATAGATCTATAAGCAGAGTCGTATTTTGTTGTGGTCCTTTGTACGCTATGGATTAATATTTACTAATAGTAGTAGATAATGGTATTAACTATCAGGTCTCCCACAGACCGCAGACTTTCTATAGGACGATAGTTTAGACGGGTTAGGCTGCTAGTGCGCACACCGAGTCAACTAAACAGTTTAGTTAGTGAAGAGTGTCTGTATCTGACTGTTGAAGTAAGCGGCCGCACAATGAAAATAGATACTGTAGCAAGAATTAATAGTACTGTTGGCTCCATCTGTTGGGGACCGCGTCAGACTCTCCTACTTGCCAGAGCTTCATGGCCAATCTCTGTATTTACGCGGATCGCGACCACACATGCTGTTTTAATCCACGCCCAAAAGAACCCAGAAAAACGCTACATTGGTTTCAGAAGTGGGATGATCAGTGAAGGAAGAATGGCGCGATTGGTTGATTTGAAAATTGCCGATTTAAAAAGAGAGCTGTGGGAAGGAGAGTGCGATATGGCTGGAAAGCTAGCAGAATTACAGGAGCGGCTTCGTCAAGCACTGATTGAGGAAGGCGAGGACCCGGATATTTTTATTTTTACCGGGGCGGGGGTATTGGTTTAATGCTGCAAAACCTTTCGACCAAGACCACCGATCTTTTAGAAAACTCAGCCAAGTTAGAAAGAAGGCTCGTGGAAAATTGTACCAACCTAGAAGGAAAGTTCGTGGAAGATTGTGCCAACCTAGAAGGAAAACTCTTTTAAAGTACAGCCAAATTAGAAGAGAAGTTTTTGAAAGATACTGCCAATTTAAAAAAATAATTGGAAGATAAAATTATGGAAAAATCTTGCGAGATGGAAAAACGAATTTTAGAAACTTTGGAGGACCGAATTCAAGAAGTGCAAGGCAAGTTTGCCGCTTTAGACGTCAAGACCATCGACGAACGACAGCGTGGACTTCCGTTGGAAAAATCAAGTGAGGTTGGAGCTTCTGTTGGTTCAGCTGGTCATCTGCGAATGAAACCGACGCAATTTGATGGTACAACGCCTTGGCCTGTCTACCGGCGTCAGTATGAGGCAGCCGCGAATGGAAAAGTTGGTCATCGACCGAAAAGGCAATTGCACTCACTTTGGCCATGCGATGAGATGCTGCAGTTATTCTTCAAAGAATATCACCCGAAGAGCAAGAGGTCTACGAACAGCTAGTAGGACATTGAGAACATGTCTACTATATTCAATTAAAGAATCGGTTCCAGAAGTCAGGCGAGTCCTTGCAGGAGTTCGAAGCGGATGGTACGATTAGCATATTCCGATGTTCAGTACTACTAGTACATCCACCTAAGCTAGTAGATGCGCTAACTCGAGCCTTAGAATTCGAAGCCTCTAGAAACACAAATAAAAGCCAGGTCCGAGTCCGCCAGAACAGGAAGTTGGAAATGTGGAAAAATAGGGCAAGTTAGGATACGCTGTTTAGAGGAGAAAGATGCCCAAGTATTAAGAACCACTATCGTTAGTGATATTGGGCAAAATGAAGACCTCATCAAAGACCAAGAGGGCGATCCCGATCTCCGAATATTTCTGAACTGGATGAAAGAACAACGGAAACCAGCCTGGGAGGAAGTTGCCAAGTATTGCCCTACCATAAAATCATATTGGGCACAATGGAATTCTGTAGTTATGGACGATGGACTCTTACTGCGTAAAATGGTTGTCCACGACGGCAAAGTGGAAAGAAGGCAAATCGTTATCCCCAGATGTCAGATCCCGGAGCTGCTAGAAGAAATCCATTCCGGTGTGACCAGGAGGTCATCTCGGAGTTACAAAAACCCTGGGAAAAGTGAGAGAAAGATTTTACTGGATCAATAGCAAGGACGGCATAAAAGACTGGTGCAGAAAATGCGTTGTGTGTGCGGCAAGTAATGGACCGCAAAGCAAACCAAAAACATCGATGCGCCAATACAACGTGGGGAGCCCCTTTGAAAGGATTGCTATTGATGTGGCGGGACCCTTTCCAGAAAGTGAAGCAGGGAAGAAATACATCATTGTGATAATGGACTGCTTCAGTAAGTTGGGTTGAGGCATACGCTCTGCCAAATCAGGAAGCCTCTACGGTAGCCGATGCTTTAGTAAAAGAATGGATCTGTCGATTTGGTGTACCTTTGGAGTTGCATTCGGACCAAGGGCGCAATTTTGAGTCAAATCTGTTCCAAAATATCTGTCAAACCCTTGGCATTAAGAAGACCAGGACTACTGTTTTACAACCGCAGTCAGATGGAATGGTGGAGCGCATGAATAGGACTATTAACCAGTATTTGGCTAAGGTAGTCCCTAGCCATCAAAGAGAGTGGGATAGTTTTCTTCACCTCTTCTTATTGGCTTACCGAGCGTCGATTCATGAAAGGAGATACCCCGGCTCGAATAGTTATAGGAAGAGAACTTCGTCTCCCATGCGATCTAAAGTTTGGCTGTCCACCAGGAACTGATATTGCCTGAGACGACTACGTAAGTGAGCTGCGTAGAAGAATGGACGCCATCCATAGCCAGGTTCGTGCTTCAATTCAAGGTGCCAGCGACCGGACGAAGGACGCTTATGACGTTAATGCCAAAGACCAGAGGTATGACAACGGTGATACGGTTTGACTTTACGACCCAAGGAGGCGAAAAGAGCTGTCGCCTAAACTTCAATCATCCTGGGACGGGCCATATAAAGTTCTCGAAGCCATCAATGATGTTCTCTACAGGATTCACAAGGCACTACGCGGTAAAGCCCGAATTGTTCATTTCAACCGACTTGCCACATCGTGGAACCAACGAAGATGGGGCGGTGCGGCAAATCCAACCAGAACCGGACATGAAATTTGATCAATGTATGGCTCACCATGCTAATGGCCATAAGAGTCGGTATGGCGTGACATATGAAGTACAGCAAGATCTGCTTTTCACTTCAACAGAGTATGCACTGGCACACTGTGTGGCTCAAGACTTGTGAATGTCGAGAGGTATAGCAAAGTTCTTTCTCAGGAAGTTTGAAAGAGTGCACGAGCTGCGACAATCTAACCCGAAAGTCGGAAAAGTTCTCCAGATAACTGAAGAGAGTACCAACCGAAAGATCTTCTCTCTGGATACTCTTTGTGTTCTCTTAAAGTGTTGCTTGCCGAGGTCCTGAGAAAACTGGCAATACCTAAGCTGGCATGTGAACTGGACAACCTGGACTGGAGAATCATCCAAAGCATGCTTGAGGTAGTCTTCCGGTATTCAGGCATTCGATTTCTGGTGTGTTATCACAGTCCTAGACGGCTACCTCCTGGAAAGAGTGTGGATTATTACTTCTTCAAGAACTCCTACTGCAACAAAGGGCAGTCGTGCCGAAATCGATATCCACCACCAGTAAGATCATTCCGGGACGGAATGACTTTAGGGAGGGTGGCAGTGTAACAAGAATGAATAGTACTGTTGGCGCCATCTGTTGGGGACCGCGCCAGACTCTCCTAGTCGCCATAGCTTCATGGACGATCTCTGTTTTTACGCGGATCGCGACCGCACATGCCGGTTAGCGACATCTGTTGACGACCGTGCCAGTGACTTACCTTCTAGATCGACGCGAAGTGACCCCGACGATTCTGGAATGCCGCTATGTGGCTCATCGGAATCTTCTCGAATCAACGATGCGGACTATATAACTTGGCGGCCGGGAGAGGGAAGCAGAGTAGAGTATAGTTCAGTGAATGGCGCGACACAGTAATTCGTAAATAAATAGTCAGACATAAATAGTGGTGTACATAAATGTTCTATCTAGTCAAGTTAAATAAATTAGTGCATTTCTTTTCGTGGAATCCAGTGTTTTAATCTACACCCAAAAGAACCCAGAAAAACGCTAAAATACAATATTGTCCAGAAATGTTATATTGCTATCATACAACGGAAAGGAAAAATCAAAAAGAGATTCTGAGAGTATTGGGTGCATCCCATTCGCAGTGATAGATTATTTAGTGGAATATTTTACACAATGCATTCCAAATTACTTGATTACCCGAAAAAACACGACTGTCCGACGCCAAAGCTCGGAGCGAACTGAACTATCGGCCGACTAAACAATCGTCGTGTGTGCACAAGTGGAAGTTAGCCAACACTGATTAAGGAGTCGGCCGATAGTTGGCCGACAGATTAGTTTGAAGCGAATCGGGAAGCCCATCAAACTTTTTTATCGGCCGTTACTGAATCGCTGTAATGTGCGCATATGCATACGGCTCCATACTGATTAAGAAGCCGACCAAACTATCGGCCGATAAAAAGTCCAGTCTGCGGGAGGCCCTTCAAAATTCTCATATAAATGGGTCCCAAAATGACCTCTCACCGAGATACATGGGTTGAAATTATGATTTCGAAATCGAAAATAACTTCCGGCAATAAACCGTAGAGCTAGGCTGGGAATAACTATCACATCCCCCATACTCTCCAAAATCAAATAAAAACTCAGTCAATTTATTGGGGTATCATTGACTTACATAGGTCAAGAATTAACAAGTTTATCTAAGTATAGACTGTACGTGTTATCACAAATACATTAAAATTTAATTTGTAAAAATGTTCATCCACAGAGTATAGTGAATTTTTTCTAAGTATTTAATCAGATTTTTAAAACTGTCGTAGGGAACAGCTTTCACCGCTGGTGGTGAACTGTTATAAAGTTTTACGCCCCAATAACTTGGGTTATCTTGACACCTTCTCAGCCTAAGATACCCAGGATTGCGTATGTCCTTATTCCTAGTATCATACGGATGAATTTGCTGATGTGTTTCAAACTCTGACAAGTTGAGTTTGACATATAGCACACACTCCAGGATATATATGCAAGGGAATTTTAAAACACTCCAGCTCTGGGAAGCTTCCCTGCAGTCGTCTTTGTAGGCAATACCAGAAATTAATCGGCTTGCTGACGGAGCGCGTCCCCATTCCAACACAGCATAAGTTAGGCGGGAATGGAATACCAAAAAAATGAGCTGGTCTTAGTGCACTTTTCGAAACGTAGTTTTTCAAATCTCGTAACAGAAAAGGTTTGCACTTAACTTTTTCGCAGATACGTTAATGTGGACATCCCATTTTAATCCAGCTCAAGGTGTACTTCAAGAAACTAGATCGTTGACACTGTTGGAGGAATCAATATGTCTAGTTGAACAAGTCAATTCCACTGTTTTTTCTTTATTAGACCACCTGTATATTTAGGTATGGGGGTATAGGATTTTGTAGAGTTGTGTATCATCCGCAAAAAGCGTGTATCTATAATTACCGTCAATAAGTGGAAGGTCAGATTTATGTATATATATATATACAGGGTGACTTCGAAGTTGAGTCATTTATTTTAACAGTGAGTAGATCTGATAAAAAGAAATGTTTTTTTCCTTTAGCATTTTTCTGGTAAAATTAAAGTAACAAAGTTATAGCCCTTTGGAAGTTTGAGTACCGCCCTGTCTCAATAATAATATCATGCGCTCGTGTTTGGCAACAACGGATATAATCCGCCTTATCGGTTCATCCCATCGGAAACAAAAAAGCGAAAGAATTTGGAACGATGTTTTTACAATTATTTTATTCAGTTTCAGTTATACATACAGTGTCAGTCGGTAAAGCGTGTGAATAGTGTCTGTTGCGTGGCTCAAACGAAATAAAAAATGGCACATGTTTATGCGGATCGGTTGCCCAATCGAGTGCAACCAATCCCTCGTGCCTTTGTTAATGTAGTACAACGGGCTCGTGAATCAGGTGACTTAAGACCTCACAGGGGACCTCACGATCAAATACAGGTCCGCACTGAAATACTTGTCGGGAGGATACTTTATAAAACAAGGTAAACATTTTTTTTTTATTTTTACATACATATTTTGGTTTATCTTCCTTCTACAATCATTATCTGAAAATTAATGACTCAACTTCAAGTATACAGGGTTATCCAAATTAAGTGTCCACCATTAGTAACTTTGTTATTAGTGAAAATACAAAGTTGTTTGAATTAGCAAACTAGTAGCATTTTTAACGCTGGTAAAAATGAGAAATAAAAAAAAACAATTGAGAGTCGTTATTTTGATTTTTTTCAGTAAAATAACATTTTTTTAAATGGAAACCCCTGTATATTATATTTTTTTCTGTTAAAGCATCAAATTTTAAACAAAAAAGCTTACAATAACTTTTCTCCTAGGTTACAAATTGTTGAAGTTATGGCCTCCAATCTGAAACAATTAAATTGTATCGACAAACTTTATTTTCAACATCAACTTATAATCTTACAAAATACAATAACAATTTTTTTTAAAGAAGATGCTCGAAAACACCACCTTGTTCTTCAATACATTTTTGGGCACGTTTTTCAACTGCTCGAACTGTCTTAAGTATGGTCCTACCATCTATCTGGGTTATCTTTTCCCTAACTGCAGTCTTTAACGCGTCAAGGTTATCGTACCTTCGCTTGTAAATTTGGTTCTTTAAGTAACCCCACAAGAAGTAATCAAGTGGGTTTAGATCTGGTGATCTGGGAGGCCACTGTATTGGGCCATTTGTTCCTATCCACTGATCATTAAAAGTAGTACTTAGAAAATGATAAGTACCTCTGGAGTTGTGGGCAGGTGCGCCATCTTGCTGAAAATGCAGATGATGTCTACTTATAAGATCCAATCCGTCTAAGAAATTAGTCAGAATTTCTGACATAAATTCCACATATCTTTCACCAGTTAGGGTTCCCTCATAAAAGAACGGGCCAACAATTTTTGAACCAATTATACCGCACCAAACGTTGAAACTGAAACGGACTTGTGGGCCTCTTGGATGTACTAACAAAAGATTTTCTCTTGACCAATAATGGTGGTTTTTTCTATTAAACATTCCAGAATTTGAAAAATTTGATTCATCTGTCCATAAAAGGTAACGAAAGTTATTTACATTTTGGCGACAGAAGCTAAGATACCAATGGCAAAAAACAAGTCTTCTCTCTGGATCCCCTGCCAAAAGCGTTTAAACTGGTCGGTACTTATACGGAATAAATTTGTATTTTTTTAAAATCCTTTGAACAGTACCATAACTGAAATTAGAGTCCTTGAGAATATCTGCTATTGAATTCTCACGATAAGCTTCAAAATATCCAATAACTGCAATTTCCGTGGCCTCGCTTATTATGAATTCTTTTTTTGCCCTTGTTTTAGCAAAAACATTTTCGTTGCCCCTAAATTTTCGATAAAGTCTCAGAAAATATCGTTCATACGGTTGAATGCGAGCGGGATATAATTCACTGTAGTATTCTCTTGCTCTCAAGGAGGATTTTCTGCACACTAAATAGCATTCTAACATATCACACTTTTCTTCATGGGAGAACATTTTTCTTTAAATTAATGACACAATAAAGCTTATAAACAAGTATTTACACTGTTTGACATTATTTGATTTTATCATTGTTTTCCAAAGCCTTCTAGTTGCGAGTATGTCCAGTTTAACAATTTGTCGCTTATCTTAATGCTGTCAAATCGCGAACGCCATGTTGTTTTCATAGCCGTCTTAATATTATAATACTGCAAATAATTAAAAATATTTATCGTTATTTTGACTTTATTTTTGACTTTAGCGGAAAAGTCATTATGAACTTTTTTGTTTAAAATTTGATGCTTTAACAGAAAAAAATATAATATACAGGGGTTTCCATTTAAAAAAATGTTATTTTACTGAAAAAAATCAAAATAACGACTCTCAATTGTTTTTTTTTATTTCTCATTTTTACCAGCGTTAAAAATGCTACTAGTTTGCTAATTCAAACAACTTTGTATTTTCACTAATAACAAAGTTACTAATGGTGGACACTTAATTTGGATAACCCTGTATATCAGGGAGAAAATGGGACCTAAAACTGACCCTTGGGGACACCATACTCCACCCTACTTTTTGCTGATGATACCCCAGCAATTTTGACTATTTGTCAACTGTCTTGGAGGAACGATTTTAGAAAATGCATGCTGTCCTCACTGATACTGCATGCTTCCAATTTCCCAAGTAGTAAAGAATGGTCAATAGAGTCGAATAATTCGGCCAGATCCCAGAATGAGACTGTACTGTACATGAGATTGGGGAAACCTTTTAATATACAACAAACTAGGTTCAATATTCCCATCGTGGCACTCTCCGACTATCACCTATATTTTTTGCAACAAAAATTGAATATACAGATTGCCATCACATTGGCGACAGGTCGTCAATTCTGATAAACTATTACTCGATAAAATGTATTCAAAGTAAAAAATACCTTGTTATTACCTAAAAACGCAAACAACTTTCTGCATCCGTTTTGCGTAACTTGAAAAGTGACATTTATCAATTTTTATGACATTATGTATATTTATTTTGACATTATGAACTACTAAGTGCATAAGATGATATTCTTCCGATTTTTTTTGACATTATGTCTTTTACGTTTTAACCCTGCCGGTAGAACTAATAATAAAAATATCTTACTTTCTTTCCTTTATTAGCCTTGACCTCCGCCATGATAGCCTTCTCAGCCTCCTCAACGTTCTTTTTCCTATTCCTGTCGTTGATGTACGAAATACTACTGATCGTCGACGTCCTCAGTTTATCCAACTCCGACGCTCTCTCTTCCAGGTCCGACAATTTCTGACCTAAAGCGCGCCCCTGTTCATCGTCGCCTCGCGTCAAAGCCGCTTCACGCTCGCGCATAAGTCGCGCCTTTTCCATCGCGTAGTTGAACGGGTTGGATTTGAAGCGCTTCTTCTCTTCGATCTAAAAAAAATGGCGTCAGGTAGGTTGACTATGTACTTCCACATGCAATGTTGTCACCAGTTTATAAAGTATTATGTCCAAATGAAAACATATTTTTAAAATTACAAATTCTACAAAATAAAGCTATATGAACAATTTAAATGAAAATAGATCTGCTAAGATTAAGTCTAAGTTGGAAGAACTGCCACTTCACAAAATAACTATGAAAATAGAGGAAGTATAGATTTTCACCAACAAATTGTGATAGCAGCATACCTATCAAATATGTATTTCAAAAGGGAGTGTTTGAATTTAATAAAATGAATAATGATATCAAGGATTCGTATTAGGTCCAATCAAATTCTTAGTCTATATCACTTTGGCTAGACACCTATACATTAAATCAAGACAAGAATTAGTAGTGATTTACAATCAATCAAAAAATGGTGTGACAACAATTACTTGACTTTTGAATAAATAAATAATAAATGCTCCCTTGATTATATAAATTTAAATACACAAAACAGACACCATCAATTTTTGGGATTGACCACTGATCATATATTAGATTTTACTAATCATATACACAAATTGCTTAATCAAATAGTAAAGATTTTCTTCATTATAAGAACAATTAGTTACAACGTAGGAAAAAGCACATCATTAAGCAGTTACTTTACTTTGCCGACGAACTTTAATTTTTGGACATGAAAAAAACAGAAGAGTGATGATGTCTTAATATTCTAAAACACCTATTAGAAAAGAATGTCATATGAATTCATAGGTACTTACTATTCGTTCCACGTCTTTCTCGTTGAACTCGTAACTGATAGCTTCTTTGATATCAGCCTGTTTTTGTTCTATCCTGATTTTCGTTGGCAACGCATTGCCAGCTGCTGCACTTGCTTCTATCCATTTCTGGTATTCTGGGTCGCTAAACTCTTGATTGGATATAAATTCTAGTCTAAAAACGCGCTCTTGGTTGCCGTGTCTAACTTTAAGTCCCTGAAAAAAAAGTAGTATGTAAGTACTTGTCAAAAATATAAAAATATACCCAAAATGGCAAATTTGTAGTTAAAAAAACTAAAACTGGAGTAAAGGTCAAATCACATTTTGGTGTAGTGGGTTAGAAATTCGTCCCGACAGAGATGCAGGTATATTAATATCTAGCCCAAAAAAAGTATAGACTGAGTGCTTTCGGTTTTTCTTTTAAGTGGCGTACAGGTATTACGTTTTACCAGGACCTGAACTTAGAATCTGACTACAATTTAGGGCGTTCTTTATAAAAAGGTATTATTCTGCATTTCTTCGGGCGTTCTCACGTAATTTTGAAAAGCTAATGTTACATTACTTTTTAACAAAATACATTAGACTTCGCATCCGGTCCGCATAAAATTTCACTTTCAACTCCCATCAACGCCATATGAAATAAGTAAACAGATCGCGCCTCCGTACCCCGGGTGGAACACTGCGCAGACTTATCTTCAGCGCATCTGCTACTCTCTCCAGTACGCATGAAGTGGGTAACAGGGGACCTCTGTTTCATCTGTTCCCTTCCTGGAAATACTGTAATGAATTTAACACGAGCTGAACATTGCACAATTTAATATTGCAATTGACTGGTCTTAGCCAAAGGCACAAGCAGGCTATAGGCGTGTGGAGTATATTTTACCACGTGCTGGCGGAAATTCCAGGTTCGGCATTAGGAGTATTTATCACATTGCTTTTGTTTGTTTTGTATCATGAGTAAATATAACTGAACACACTTTTGATATGAATAAACTTTGTTTCAATGAAGTCGACTCTATATCTCGCATAAAATTGCTTTTCAATCATAATTATGTCGGCAAATAAACCGATCATTATCCAGTTGATGAAAGAATTGCGTGACACCATTTTTTCCAGTGGTCGAAATTTAAAAAAAATAATGAAAAGATGTTTGCTTAGAAAAGACTGTGACTTATGGTGTACCGCTAGTTTTAGGCTCGTTATTTTTTACTCTGAACATCAATAGCCTACTCGGCTTGAAGTTGCAGGGCCCTTAAAGAGACTGGAAAATGATATTACTTTAATTTCAGATTGGTTTAGACCCAAATATTTAACAATAAATTTTCAGAAAACCATGTATATGCCGTTCACAAACCTTAATTACCACCATTTACGTCTTTACAAATTAAATGTGACAAAACAAATATTCTCAGCTAAAAAATAAAGTCAAGGATATTAACAACACCATTTACAGCAAAAAAATTAGGTCATAGACGTTTCAGTCACCACTCCAGTAGATTTTATAACTTTTTACCAAACCATATAAAATCAATTTCACATAAAAATTATTCAAAATTGAAATAAAGAAATTCTTATCTAAAAATAGACATAAAATAGCAAAGCTCACTCAAATGAAAGGTATTTAAGTTTTGAATATAAGTAATATTATACTTCACCTTTATGGTTATAAGTTGTGCTTAAATTTATGTATAAACTGTGTTTAAAGCAAAAAATGTTATAGATAGTTTTTTACCTTGTTAATCTACCATGTAGTTATATCCTGAATTCTCTGTTATACATCAAAAAGAATGCTACTGCCTACACTACCCATGGTCAAATACATCTGTATGACACTTGAAACAAAAGTAATATATGTGCAGAACACCATCGGCTATTCAGAAACCAAAACGGCACTCTATGGAAGCAATTTCTTTAATAAGTTGTCCCCGGTTGTAAAATTTCTGGATTTTAACATATTCCATAAAAAAAATAAACATTCCTCCTTAAAAAAAGTGAGTTTATTTCAGTTAATTTGCGAATATATATACAGGGTGCGGCAGAGAGGACGGACGTTTTTGGGATGGGCAGTACTCTCCGCCTCCGTCTACGAGAGAGGTGGGGAGGGTGCCGTTTGACTCGTGAGATCCTAGCATTATTTTACCAGTTGTCGTTATGGAGCTTTGGACGGTGGAGCACCGCGTTTTCGCCTTTGATTGTTTCGTCTGAAATAATGAGTCAGTCATCGTCGTACAGCGTGAGTTTCGTCGCTACTTCAACATTCATCGGAATAGAGCTGTTCCATCTCAAAACACCATCCTTGGGTTGAATTACTTCGCAGGCGTGGTGAACTGATCAACAGAAGACCAAGAGGAGCGCCGCGAACAGTTCGAACTCCTGAAAATGTTGAACGCGTTCGACAGGTCTTTCTTCGCAGTCCGACTCGATCTGCCCGGAAAAATGCTGCTGCACTTCGCCTTAAGGATCGTTCGGCAAGGCGAATTTTGCATATGGATCTCCGCTTTCACCCCTACAAATTGGCCATTGTGTAACAGTTACAGCCCGGAGATTATGCACAACGAATGAACTTCGCACGTGAGATGGAAGCACGATCGATCAAAATGAGAACCTCATTTTGTTTATGAGTGACGAAGCCCACTTTCACCTAAACAGCATGGTTAACTAGCAGAATTGTTATTGGGCTAATGAAAATCCGCAACAGTTACATGAAAGACCGCTGCTATGCTATGCTATGCCTTACCCAAAACCCACCTTATTCGTCTTGGTCTTCCCCAAATTATAAATCTTCGCCGTCTCGTACACCCCAATGACCTCAGCCACTCTGTACACAGGCACATTGTCGTGTTGCCCGATGCCCACTTTAACATAGCACCCCATGGCTATCCTATCGAAGAACGGCATGTGGACGAACCGTTCCAGCTTATGCCTGGACAGCCTGATCAGGTTCAGATCCAGCCTGGAAGGCACGTACGAAGGTCGGCGTTGTTCCTCGTCCTCTTCGTTGCTGCTGGAACTCGAGCTGGAACTGGATTGGGAACGGGAACGAGATCTCGAACGGGAACGCACGGACGCTGTTGTCGTCGTCTGGGGTTGAGTGGGCTTTTCGTCTGGAAAAACGCGTACAGGGTGTTTGTAAAGTCAAACTTCAAAGAGTAAGTAAGTAAACAAGTTACTACATTTATCTTATAAGATACAACAAATGGACAACCCTATTAATTGTATCAATATTATAGAAAATAATTTGTTCACCCAACAAATACGCGGCAAAAACAATCATGCGAAAAGAAAATATACCACCAACGCTATGGAGTACTACAGGGACCTATCCTAGGACCCTATCTGTGGAACCTATACGTTGCTGATCTGCCGGTAGAAAACATTGCAGGACAAATGAAGTCCTTGTGCGTGCTAAATAAATCCAAACAGCAAAAAAAAGCCATCATAAGATCAAAGTGGGCAATGGAAGAACCGCATGTGTTGTATTTGGGAAAGCACGAACGTACCCTAAACAGATCAGGTGTGGCAGGAATGGGCAGCCAACAGTCGTAACCCTGGTCCTGGACCAAATACGATACCTTGGTATCAATCTTAATAAAACAGGAAACACGGGCGCCTCTTTAAAGAAACAGTTCTTGAGGCCAATCGAGCAGCTCTGTCTCCAATCATTGGCTTCAGTGCGAATGTTATATATGGACTTATTAGTGGCATCCTTAAATTAAAGACGTGCCTTAAAAAGGTACATAAAATAGCTGAGACGTTCCCCTACTGCATCCAAGATGACATTCTTTTGGGGATGCTGCAAAAGGACAGTGTGGCAACACACTTGGATGAGGTGCATAAGAAATTTCTCTAAAAAAAAAACTGGGGAAGACCAATCAGTGAAGTCGATTTTGACCAAAGTAGATCATCCAATGAGCCATCAATGTCAAACCCAGCCTCCAAAAATCAAGCGTCCTGTGTACGATATCTCAAAAAGATAATACTTTATAAAACGGTGTTGCCATACGTCCCCTATCCTCCTCCTCGTATTTCACCTATTTCCTAAGAGGCAATATATTTTCATTGTTTATAGATAACATATCGGTATACCGACTGAGAGTGATAAACAATATAAAACTGGGCTCCGAAATTAAATTCGTATTACGGAGAGTTTCGAGTCATTATATTTATTGAAAAGTAGTGTCAAGCGTGAATTAGTTAAACTGAGACACTTTGAAATAAACAAAAAGCGAAATCTGCGGGGTAAGTGTCAATTGCACTTGAAATAAGAAATCTCGAATCGCCAACAGCTGATCGGTACCATCTTTCCTCCGAGGGGTCGACCCGGGAAATCGGTACCTGCGGCGCCTTGCATGGATCAGCGTAGACAGTATACACAATAGAAGACTAAAAGCATAGGCGGAGATAATAGAGTGTAGATGTCGGCATTCCGTATCAGCTCTAGACAGAGTGAAGATAGCGCAACTGAAGAGTCAACAGACGAGGGAAGCAAAAGAAAGAGGATTGAAGAGCAAGAGACAGAAGCCTTTAAAAGAAGTAAAAAGATAATAAGAACCCCGACAAAAGATAGAAATAAAAGAGTTACTAACAAGGAGATGGAAGAAATTAAGGACATGATGAAAAGTCTTATGGAGAAGTTTAGAGGGTTTTGGGAGGAAAATCGTGAGGAAATGAGGTTACTTAAAGAACAAAATACAATTCTTAAACAAAGAAACGAAGACATGATGCAGGAAATCAGTATGCTTAAACAGAGGGTTGAGCTCCTAGAGAAAGGTAGAAGAAAAAATAATATAGTGATCTCGGGTTTAAACCTAGGAACAGGAGGCAACGAGGATTTAAAGCAATCAGTAGAAAACTTTCTGAAAACCAGACTGTCTCCAGAGGCAGATATTCAGTCCGCCCAAAAAATAAAAGAGAACCTCTATGTGGCGGAGTTGAAGAGTTTTGATGCTAAAATGAAGATCATGAAAGCCAAAGGTAAGGTGCAATATTAGAAAACGCAAAAAATCTACATAAACAGTGATTTGACAAAAAATGAGATGATGATTCAAAAGCATATAAGAGACAAAGCTAAAACGGAGAGAGCAAAAGATAATACAGTCAAGATAGGTTATATGAACTTGCTGATTAGTGGAGAAAAATGGAGATGGGATAAAAAAGACCAGGTGTTGAAACCAGACACATTGATTCAAAAAAACTAGTTATGTTTAGAGAAAAGGATATCTTGGAGACGACAGAAAATGTGGCTATGACAATGGAACAGGTAAGGAACAGGAATAAAAATAACGAAAGAAATAAGACGTTAAGTACGTATAAATTTAAAGAAGAGCAAATAAGAATTGCAACTTGGAATGTCAGAAGTATCTACGAAGCAGGTGCACTGAAAAACTTAGTCAACATAGTGAACGTATATAAAGTACACGTTCTAGCTCTTCAAGAAACGAAACTTAAAGAAACAGGAATATCCCAGTGCGAAAATTTCGTATTTTGTAATAGCGGTGGTGCAAATAGACTTTTTGGGACAGGATTTCTAATAAATGCAAAGCTAAAAGACACGATAGTAGAATTTAAACCTATATCGGAAAGATTGTGTTATCTACGCCTGAGAGGAAAGTACAGGAAAGTAACAATGATCAATGTACATGCCCCAAGTGAAGACAAGGATATGGATATCAAAACAGACTTTTATCAACAGTTAGATGACGTGATAAATAGTCTACCAAAATACGATATCAAAATAATATTAGGAGACTGCAATGCAAAAGTTGGGCGTGAAGACACTTATCGAAACGTTACAGGAGGGAAAAGCACACATGAACTCTCAAATGAAAATGGCAAACTCCTGATTAACTTTGCAATTGAACAAAATTTCAAGATAATGAGCACTTATTTTGACAGGAAAGATATCCACAAGACAACATGGATCTCACCAGATGGTAATACTGCCAATGAAATTGACCACGAACTGATCGAAAACAAGCATGCCTGCAATATACACAATGTTAGAAGTTACCGTGGTGCAGATAGTGATACAGATCAGTTTATGGTAGTAGCTGTTATAAAACAAGAAATCCCGAAGAAACAGTTAGAGAGACAGAAGACAATCAAAAGGTACGAAACAAAAGCGCTAGAAGATACGTCAGTTAGACAGCAACTTGAACAAGCAATAGCGACAGGACTGCAGAACACACCAGTTGTGCAGGATGTTAATCAGGAATGGAATCATATCCAAGCAATAATCACTAATGTAGCAGAACAGATGATGAGAAAAACGAGTACTAGAAAAAACAAAGAGTGGTTCGATGATGACTGTAAACGGGAATTGGAACAAAGACAGAAAGCAAAAATACAAATGGATGTATCTAGAACAACAGAGTCATGGAAAAGATATGAGCAAGCCAAACGAAAAGTGAAAGAGATGTGTAGAAAGAAAAAGCGTGAATATTGGGAAAGGGACTTGAAAATAATAGAAAATCACATGATCAACAAAAACATTAAGAACTTTTATCAGGATGTAAAAAGCAAATTGGGTAGTCAAAGGTCTTCTTGCTTTATAAAGCTATCAGACGAAGAGGAAAGGAACACGGAAGCAGCACCACTAATCGAAGATGACAATCAGGGACAAATACACGAACCAACAGATCTGGAAATAGAGGAAACAATAGGAAGATTAAAATACAATAAGAGTCCAGGAGAAAATGGAATCACAACAGAAATAATAAAAGCGGGTGGACAAGATTTACACAAGCGGCCTGGAAGTCTGATCAGATATATATGGAATCAAGAGGAACTACCAGATGAATGGAAAAACGCCGTAATCTGCCCAATACACAAAAAAGGTGATAAAAGTTCATGTGAAAACTATAGAGGCATTGCCCTGTTAGATTAGACTAGCATTTCAACTAAGGGACAGATTGAGCATATATGAAAATGAGGTTATAGGTGAATATCAAGGAGGTTTTAGAAGGGGCAGGTCCACAATAGACCAAATATTAACAATGAAACAGCTGTTCTATAATAGCTATGAACAAAATCTTGGTTTACACGCATTATTTATTGATTTCAAGCAAGCGTACGATTCCATTAACAGAGAAAAATTATATGAAGCTATGAGGCTGCTGGGACTACCAAGTAAACTGATAAGGTTAGTCAAAATGACAATGAACGGGACAATGAACAAAGTCACATTGGAAGGGAAAACATCTAGAGCTTTTGGCGTAACGAGAGGCCTGAGACAAGGGGACCCGCTATCTACAACATTGTTTAACTTTACGCTGGAAGCTATTTTACGTAATTGTGGTATACAAACCGACGGAGTTGTTTACTATAGAAAACATCAGTTGATTGCTTACGCCGATGATATAGCAATAATAACCAGATCCAATGCAGAACTTGACAAGACGTTTAGAAAGTTAGAAGAAACTGCCAAACGTTTTGGGCTTCATATAAAAGAAGACAAAACAAAATACCTTGAAATGAGAGGAAGCGATGAAGGAAAGTAAATAATAAAAAGTAGTTGCAGAGAATACTGTTTCGAAAAGGTGAATCAATTTGAATATCTAGGGGTCACAATAACAGATAAAGCAGAAGAAGATTTAGAAATTGAAAAAAGAATAGCAAAAGGGACTAAAGCAATGGGAGCTTTAAGCAAGATAATAAACTCGAGGTGGATATCAAGGAAAACAAAGGAAAGGATATATAAATCAGTTATCCAACCATCAGTACTTTACGGCGATGAAGCTTGGGTGTTAAGCCAGAAAAACGTACAGAAATTGGAACGTTGGGAAAGAAAAATGTTACGTAAAATATATAGGGGCACAAAAAACAACGACGGTACATGGAGAAAGCGAACTAATAAAGAACTGATGGAGATGTATAACCAACCCAGTATAATACAAAAAGCCCGAGCTCAAAGAGTGCACTGGTTAGGACACGTTTACAGAATGCCGTCTCATAGGAATGCCAAAAAAGTTTTGTTTGGAGGAGAAGGTGGTAGAAGAAGAAGAGGAAGACTGAAGAAGCAGTGGCTGGAAAGTGTCAAAGAGGATATACAAAGACTAGGCGTACCAGACTGGGAGGAAAAGACCAAAAACAGAAAAGCGTGGAAAGAAGTTGTCAAAAAGATAGAAGCCATGGGCCTTCAGGCCTGAAGCGCTGAATTATATATATAGGTAATAGGTATGAATTTCATTGTTTCTTCGCAGGGGTGCAGCTAAACAATTAGGTGATGTTGCTTTTGTACTTTTGAATATAAATACCATTAATATAAATGTCATTAAGCAAAGATGTTCGCTTACAGACAACCACTGTAGAATATATTTAACATGTCTTCAATTAATGTGTATCTGTTGCATTGCAAAATTTACAGAAATGAAAATGGGACTTGATTATTGTATTATGAGTGATGACTTGAGCAAATCAAAGAAAAAAAGTTCATATGATCCTGGGATTCCTTGGGATTCAATTGAAAGTGTTGGCAGGATCAAAAGAACTCTTCATATAAGATTTTTAGGTATTTAGAAGACCTACAAAATGAGACCACAAGTAAAAAGATCCGTCTAATAGCAAAAAAGTTATAGCCTAAGCTGTTTAGCTGCTGTTTATATGAATAAGAAATATTGAAATTAGTAAGTTCAACATTATTGGTTTTAAAACAACCTTATCGATCAACCACACATGAATAATAAAGATATGTGCTTTAGTTATCCAAAGAGCATTAGAATCCAGAAACAGTGAAACTTTTTATCTAGAAGGCGCTGTTTTTAATACTTATGTCAAAAAGACAGATTGTGGTTTTACAATTTTAATGGTAATTACTTTTCTTATAATTTCTCCTAAAGTATCAACATAAGAGGAGTGTTAATACATCAAAAAAATCATGATTCTGTATGTCAACAATTTGACTTGTACAGACTGAGCTGTAAATTTGGTTTCTAAAACCAACTTTTTAGCATTAATTTTGACAATACAATATAGTCATTAAAAAGAGTTTAATTATTAAAAACATTGAAATGTGAAAAATACAACTTTACCTGTGTCACTTCCACATTCAAATTCCATTATATTTTAGCAAGATCCTATAGATTCTTTATGTGCTTATCAAGCTACAGCTCTTCCTGTATATATTGTAAGATACCAATCCAATTTATCCACAATGTGTGCTCGAAAACTGGTAGATGAATTGTGACAGAATATTTGAATTGTTTGTAAACACCATGCCAACTACAGATGTAAAAATCCCACCATACAGTAGGATAAGTATGATAAATCCTTGTATGTTTTATGCATTATAAATATATTTTTGATATATATATATATATATATATATATATGTTTTATTTGATAGATAAAAATACTTACTATCACTATCACTGTCATCTGAGTAAATATCTGATGCCTTCAATTTTGTCTCATTCTTCTTTGATAAAACAATTTGTTCTTCTTCCTCTTTTTTCTTTTGTTCCTCTTGCTTCTTCCTCTCTTCCTCTGCTTCTTCCCTCCTTATTTTTCCCTCTCTTCTAGCTTTAAGTTCAGCCATAGCGTTTACTCTTTTATCAACTTTACCCCTATTTTCCTCAATGTTCTTTTTACGTTCCTTACTTCTCTCTTTGTGGTCAATTGAACTAAAGTCATTCTGTAGTTTATTAGTAAACTCTTTATCTTTTTCTTTGTCTCTCTCTTTATCCCTTGGTTTTGATGGTTTGTCCTTGGCTCGTTCAGCTTTCTTTGCCTGTCTCAGTTTCTTCTCTATTTCAAATCTAATAAGAATCATTAAAATAAGCAATGTATGCATTAATAGTCAGAAATAACTGCTCAACAATCAGCAAACTTGATAGATGTATAAATTTTCGAGATATAGAGAAATGCCTTTATCTCAAAGCATTTCTAAAAACTTATCTCTACAATATAAAGTTATTGGGAAAATAAATTAATTTAGAAAGATAGCTTCTAATATAATAAAGCTAGATAATAGTAGCAATTTACTTGCCTAGTTTTCATGAGTTCTCTTTGTTCAATTCTCTTGAATATCTCTGTTTCTCTTTCTTTTTCTGTAAGCGCTGCCAATCTAGCTCTATCTTCTTCATCACCCATGAGTTGATCATCATATCCATCGTTGAATTCTTCTTCTGAGCTTGATGAGTCTGAAACCTCTCCTTCCTCAGGTTCTGAGTTACTGTCTTCTTTTGCTGATTTCTTGCCATTTTTTTCTGATTCAGATTCTGATGCTGAGTCTTTTTTAGGTTTCTTCTTACTACTTTTCGTTGATTCGTTACTTTCTGAGCCTTCATCTGACGATTTTGTCTGTGGGGAACGCTTTTTTGCAGTTCGTTTCTTTGCTAGCTTCAAGAATTCCTGGAATATTCAAGTTTTCGCTACACTACTATCCAACCTTTTTGACAAATATATTTATTTGGGTAAACCTTTAGAATTGATAGTATACACGTCCCAAAAAAGGAAAATTCTAGGCGAAAACTTGAAAAAGTGGCCTGGTAAGACGTAAAAACCAAATTTTCTTACAGGTTATGGAAGATAAATTCTTACCGAATCCAGATCACTATCGGAATCATTGCTAGAATCACTATCAATTAAAGCTGTTTGCTTACGTTTAACCATGGTTTTGGCCTGGAAAAACGCTTTTACGTAAATTAAAAATATCCAGTGTTCAAACTCTAACTTCCATCAACTATCAACTCATCCAATGATGCCTAGCATAGAACACAAACTGAGAACAAGCAATTTCAAACGTCATCGTCATGACACGGAAAGGTTAGATCATAGATTAATTTAAGTACCCTACTTCTCTACTACAACCCAATCATACACGTATTCATAATCTTTGCTTTTTATATGCCAGGAAGATTGGACAGTTCCAACAAAATTTAAAAAGGAGGTTGTATTTTGTCTCAGACTGTGTGCAAGAAATTCTTCGATTAAGAAAAATTATAAATGGAAAGTGTATAACGGATGAATGAAACACTGGGTTATGTTCTATATACAGTTTATTCACCATGTTGTATTATATATTTCTATTTATTATTTGTTTTCAACGGGAGGTAAAACCTTTTCTATCCACCTAAACAGATCTTCGATTTCCTTCTGCTTGATTTCATGTAACGTATTTTTGATAGGGGTGAATTCACCCTTAATTCCTAGTTTTGTTAAATCTTGGAAAGTATTTTGTCCCCACGAAATCGGTACTAAAGTGTCTCTATCGCCATGACACATGTACAAAGGAGTATCCCTAGTTTTTACGTTACTGTATAGAACAGAATTATTGTTAAGGAATGAAGATAGGGCAAAGGCTCCTGCTAACCCTGGGGAAAATCTGTAGGCAGTATGTAATGCAAGTGCTCCACCCATGGAAAATCCACCTGAAATCCGAAACATTATAAAATAACTGACTCCAAAATGAGATTAAAGCATTAATTAACATATTCTAGTTTGAGATAGGCATCCACATATACTGTATTCCGGCATCCAGAGATCTGCAAGACATTAGCGCCATCTATGTGCCGAACAGAACACAAACATGAATTTAGAAATACACTTTAAGAAGGCAAAGATCTTCAATCGGCTCTCTAATGCCTATTTTAATTCAGGCATTCCACCTAAAGTAAAATAGGTGCCAAAAAAGAATTGAAGATCCTGGCGCCATCTATGAGGCAGTAGCAGAACACTCTTAACTCTTTGAAAATGGATTTCTAAATTAATATTTGTGTTCTTTTACTATCTCACAGATGGCGATACTATCTTTCAAGGAATTTTAGTACATGGTTGTCTATGTTCAGGTGGAATATGTCGAAGTCGTACCAATTACAATTCTATTCAGTGGCACTCCAGAATCCGCGACTTTTCCTATCAGGCCTTTCATCTCTTGTCCAATTGATTCAAGTGTTTGAATATGCTCTGGAACATCGGGAGTTATGTTGTATCTGTCAAACCACACATTGCTTGTCTGAAAATAGAAAATGGATTACAATTTTTTGTGCAAAACTAGTAGATAGTTACTCACACTGCCTCCTAACGGGGTATAGGGCCTCAAAGGAGCTGTCGGAAAATAAAAATTGATGTGAGGTAATCCAAAATCGGAGCCCATCAGGAATTTCACCCAGTTCAAAAAACCTTGGCCAGTATCGCCTGTAAAAAAGGGAATAGCTTACCATATTACGTTCCTTATAATATTACTTGACATTAAACATTCAAATCTCATTTACAGTGACGGATCTATAATCTCTGGGAGCCGAAGTGCTATGTTCGTAGGGGACTCCTATAGTGATAGTTGAAGAGCGTGGAACATAAACTGTGCCTAATGAGGGGGCCCCATAAACCGCATTCCGGGGAGTGGGTCGTATGCTCATGTACGCTGAGTCAAAACAATATCCGCGTCTGCTCATTTAAGCAGCGCCAAAGGAAACACGAACACTCTGCTTCTATTATCTATTCGCCTGTAGCTGCGTGCCGAGGTATTTATGGTCCGCTTGCCAATAGGAGTGCGAGAATTTGAAGATCGCGATGCTGTTTTCATGTCGCGACAATGATATACAAATAGTTACGATAACCCATAACAAATGGAGTAAAAATGGCGCATAGAAATTCCTCACAGAGTTTCAATTCTGCTAGTTCACCATTTGTGTTAAACAGACGTCAACTGTTAATTGTGACGCGAAACAGATGTCATTTGTACTTTTTAGATTCTTTTCTATTTTTTTTGTTAGCCTAGGCGCGTAGGAGGATAGGCCCTAGGTTGCCCACCCTCCTTCGGTACTTAAGTTGTGCTTTGGTTATTAGAATAATATCGAAAAAAATTACCTGATCCATGCAAAAATATTACTGATCCTGTACAAGCTTTTCCAGTTTGTTTTACCAAGTGGAGTGCTTCCATAGCCATTTCTTCCTATTTGTGGTGATGAAATGTTGCCGATTAACCTTATGAGCACAGCTTATGAATGTGGCTACTCTAGTAATGTGTTGTGGAATCAACAAGCAGTGTTTAAAAATATTTCTATTTCCTAATGCGGGTCCCACACGATGCTTCCAACGTTGTTTACAACGATGAGATGAACTTTTTAGACTCGGACGTTCGACGCATGGTGGTGCCAACGACTATTATCGGTGTCAGTGTCGCGCTTTACGCGAACCTTTACAACTGAAGGAAAAATTATACAAAATAAACGAGAAAACAATTTTTTCGAGCGCTAAAAAATAATTTCAGGTCTGTCCTCAGCGACCAAAACTTAAGCCTGTCAGAAGCCTCAAAAATGTCGAAAAACGAAGTGTGACCGTTTTTTGTTTGTTTTTCGACGATAGCTCCAACGCCACTGTACCGATTTTCAAAAACTGCAATTTCATAATAGTAACCTAGGGTTACTTTCATCAAAATCCTGATAGTACTTTCAGAGTTATCATTTATTCAATCTTTTTCGTATCTTATGAAATGGAAGTCTTGCATTGCAACAGGACATTATAATGAAACAACTGGAAGCACTTGATAATTTATAATTTACTAAAATACATATCCTTAGGCCAGCCATAACTCACCTGCGAAACGTACAAAATATTAGCAATATGAAAAAAGGTCAAAAGTTAGTTACGCAACATACATTATTATTAATAGGCAGGTATTCAAATCTAAACTTCCCTCATACCACTATTTCACCACAGTCACAACAAACAAATAAATAATGTCGCCGCTACTGGTTCTAACCTAAAACCATCAAACACATGACATTTCGTGTGGGAGCGTAACGAATCATGCTTCCAACGTTGTAAGGTCCTTTTGACGAGGGTCAAATTTACCGACAAGAGCCCGAACGTGCCATGTGGCGAACGTTGGACACATGCAATCCGTCAGCGCTCTCCCACACGATGTGGCGAATGGCCTTGTGTCCAACGTTGTAAGGCATTCGCCACACATCGTGTGGGAGCGGTTTAAAACGAAAGAACCAGCATGTAATGAAAAGATTAGATAAGATACATTTTTATATGAATATAACAATAACTGCTTGCAAACATTGAAGAATGGATCAACAGAATAATCTAAAATTATTTAGCTACAGAATCAGATGGACTCACCAACTCGCTATATAATTTTATAATAATTTGTGTCTATATGGATCCATAATGCGTGTATCTTTGATTTCCACGATTTCGAGCTTATTTTTCCAAGATTTGAGGTTATTGTAGTTTGTTTCTGATAGGGAAACTTATGAGATTATTCCTTGATAGTATCATTGAGACTTGTTGAAATATCTCATTTAATATGTGATAAAAGGATTTATAAATAAAACATTAGAAAACAGAATCAAAACATATTTTATAATTATATAAAATTCCGAATTGACCTAAAATATATCTCATCGAATTTCCATTATTTAAATATTTAAGAGGGGGCTAAATGACAAGTGAAAGATTTGCTTGTCATTAATTTGACAGTCAGAGTTCGCTCGATTTGACATTTGTGTTAAAACGTGTGTAATGTCCAGTTATAAAGCATAAATTCGTCCAATAACGTTCACGATGAATCTAAGGAAACACCAAGGCGACCCAAATGAAGATTCCTCAGAGTCGGGTGATGAAAATCAAAACAACGTGGAATGCGCTCACATCAACAAGGCCGTTGACTTACAAAGGGTGAAGAAGTCCTTGGTTCGTTCTGGCTTCCTCATGGACTGTGAGGAATGCAAAAAACTGCCTCCGGACAACGATATGGACTTCATAGAGTACGACCAATCTTTATGGCTTTGCCTGAAATGCGGGAACCAAGCATGTGGCAGAGGTCGCAATAAACATGCACTCAAACATTATGACACCCCTCATTCTGATTCACACGCCCTTTGTGTGAATACAACCATCTGGAGCGTCTGGTGTTATGATTGTGATGACGAGGTCAACGTTTCCTGCAAGAAAAAGCTGCAAGAGGCTGTCGAGTTCCTCAGGAAGCAGGCGGAATCCAATAAAATCAAACAACAGCCTAGTACCACTAGTATAGCAAGAGTGAGTATGCCTACTTATATAAAAAGTTTAATACTATAGTTTCTTCATCTACTATTCATTTGGAAGGTATAGCTGAAACAAATTCATATTTTCATAAAGCTTAAAAACTACCTTATCTTCTCTTCTCTCTTATCACTATATTGTATTGTTTTTTTATTAGGTATATTATCCTTATAAGATATGTGTTATTCTGTAATCCATGGATCTTGACCTTGTTATAGCTTTAAATAACTACAGTAACATGTGTTCTTCAAGAGAATGACACCTTATTTTTAGCTAGACATAAAAACATTTACATGTTTCTACTATTTATATCTGCATTTTGAAATTAATACTTCATCATTATGCTTAATGCTGAATTTAATAATATTGATCTTTTTATCACCAAATTTCCAAGATGTTAGTTAACTTGTCCTTAAGTTGTAAGATGTTTGGTTTGCAGATTAATCATCTCCGACGAATTTAATAGAAAGTAAAGAACATACTTTTTATTTTTAAATCCTCTATCCTTCTTATTACTATTATTTCATTAATTAACATATTCTTGGAGGTTCAAATTTAATTTTCATTATCACAGCCATATTTTCAAGTAGGATCACAGTAATTACTTTAGAAGTAATGAAAGCATTAAATTTTGCTTTTAAAGAAAATGGTCTTCTAGGAAATACTCATCACTTCTCAAGATCCATTGTGATTATTCTCAGAATTTTTCAAGGGAAAGGAAACTGCATAACCTGTGCCAACACTGACATCTAAAAAGGGTTGTTAACACATATACCAGGTGTTTCAAATTTGATCCTCACCATTGGAATCTTGGAAATTACTTTATTTGAGTCAAGATTTCAAAATAAAATGTACATCAACATACAGATTTTTTCCTTTACAAGATGACATAACTATAATTTCCATATGGCATTTCATCTCTCAACTTTATTTTTTCTTATAGATGCCATATTGGATTTATGTACAAGTTAATAGAGTTTTTAATTCTGATTCTAGAAATGTATATGGCATACATTGACAATGCCAAACCTGGGTTATTTGAAAAAAAATAGAATTTTCCAAGTAGGCATTGGAATTATCAGTCATTTATTTCATAATATCATCAGCGAAGCATTCCTTCGGGTTTATGAACTAGGCATATGTCAACAGTCCTGATTCCCAGCTTAAGTGATGTGATATTTTATATATCATGATATGGTTTGATATTATAAAATGTCTGATGTCAAAAAAGTAACTTATCAAATAAAGAACAACCTCATACTAAAACTCTTTTATATTATGGGTCATTTAGAAAACATAGAGAATAGTATTATCTTATGTATGGTTGGAAACATTTTGGAGTAAATAAAAACCTGATGATGTAGCAGCTCCATAAGCACATTTTATAGCTGCCATATCTTAACTGATGCACATGTCTTGCACTCAAATACTATTATTTTATGGGTGAGGTGTCGTGTAGAACACCTCCGTTATGCTAAAATATGTAAATTATATGAATGCTCTTTAAAGATGCTTCTCAAGCAGCAAAGCATTGATGATTCAATCATATAAAGATAAGACAGCCATTTTCAAGGCCAACTATGAGAATATCAGTTTTTTTGAAATAGCTCAGGTTTGACAAAGTCGATGCATGACATAATATACCTTTTTGAAATCAGAAATAAAAACCATTCACCTGTGCAAAAATCCATTATGATAATAATAATATTAACGTCTTTTATTTGTAATATTATTACAGGTGGTGAGATTTAGATAATATATCTATTCTACCATCTAACCCCCTTAACAATACGAGATGTATAAAAAAACTGAGAATTTGTTGAAAATTAATACCTGTATACAATAATGACAGAATAAAGTATAATCTAAGCAAAGGCATAAGGAAAATATGAGGCTACTTATGGGTTACAACCGATTTCACTGCTGATCAAGTAGAACTTCTTTCACTTTTTTCTTGAATTTGGGGAATGAATTGGTTTCTTTTAAACTGCGGTCTAAAGAATTATATGATTGGATCGCATTGTAAATATATGTATTCTGAAATAGAGATGTGCTGTGGCATGGAATTGAAAAAGTCTCTCTATATCTAATATTAATGCCATGCATATTCCCTCTTCATATCAATTTGTTTACTAAATATGATGGTGTTTTTGAATAAACAACCCTATGAGTCAGATTTAGGAGTTGGTTCTTATACATTTTATCAATTTTCATCCATTTGAAATCATTAATGGCATTCGATATATGATCATACTTTCTGAGACCATTTACAAGTCTGCAACATGTATTCATAATACTTTGAATACGATTTCTTGTTATAATATCTAAATAGGGTTAGTAAATCACTAAGCAATACAATATCTTTGAAAACAAGAAAGATTCACATAATTGCTTTCTCGAAGATTTATGTAATATAGCCTTATTTGAGAAATTAGATAGTTTATGTGTACAACAAATTTTAAGTCATCATCTATTATAATACCTAGGTTCTTCGAAATGATCCACAGGAACTGATTTATTATTTAGTATGTCTGTCATTTTTTAATGCATTCTCTTTTGTTCTATTTGCGTATACCAACATAGTTGTCTTTTCAATTTGGGCAAGATCTTGATTAATTTTATTATTTGCTGTTTCCGAGTCATTACTCCTAAATGAATAGAAAATTTGAGTACCGTCTGCAAAAAATTGTATGCTGTATGATTTTACCTCTGTTTCTATATCATAATGAAAATAATAGGGGTCCTAAGACTGTTGCCTGTGGTACACCAGAACAAATTTTTTGTTCGGTAGAGTACTGTTGATTTAGAACATTGATTCTCAAAGTGGTCTGTATATATTTTGAACTTGTAAAAACCTGAGAGTCACAGTCTTAGAGCTTCGCTACCTTGCACTGACTTGTTCAATTCGTCACTCTATAAATACGAATGTGGGACAAATATATATATAATATAATTACAGTGCAATCTCCGTAATTCGAGCTGATTGTTGCAAGAAGATGTTCGAATTATGGAATGTTTTCGGAAAAATCTAAAAATATTTTTAATATCCAGCTGCTGGATTTTCTGTCTTATTTAAATAATTTAATTTTGCCCACAGATGACCGATGACATGTCCGAATCTAAAAAGAAATGTAGACAGTACAGTGTTGATTATTTGAAATTTGGCTTCATTCCATCATTGCCGGACAAACAATCGCCTATGTGCAAGATCATCTGAGAAGATGCCACCCTGATAAAACAGAGAAAGATTTGAAATACTTTCAAACACTCAAAGATAAATTTCAGAAGAGGCTTACACTGGACAGAATCTTCGCTTCGACGTCACAAAGAAATGCTGATGGTTTGCGGGCGTCTTACAATATCTCGTTACTTATAGCAAAATCCGGAAAACCGCATACTATCGGAGAGAAGTTAATTTTGCCAGCCGTTGAAGAGGTTTTAAAAACTGTTTTACACAAACCTGCATCTGATATCATTAAAAAAATTCCCTTAAGCAACAATACTGTTGAAAGACGTATTGATGAAATGAGTTCTGATATTGAAAGCTTCTTATGTAATTATTTGCAAACGACCCATTTCTCTATAAAACTGGACGAGTCAACTTTACCTGATTATGCAGCATTATTATTTGCATATGTTCGTTTTATTATGAATCAAGAAATCTACAAAGAACTGCTCTTCGCAAGAACTTTGATAACTGACACTAAAGGTGAATCAATATTTCATGTTTTGAAGGATTACTTCATTGAAAAAGCAATTTCTTTATCAATTATAATATCAGTAGCTACAGATGGAGCACCTGCCATGGTTGGACGTTATCGTGGCTTTACAAGCTATTTAAAACAAAATGTGTCAGGGGTGTTAGCAATACATTGCGTCATCCATCGACAACATTTAGTTGCTAAAAATTTGAGTTTTAGATTGCATGAATCACTTCATTTAGTCATTGATGCAGTAAACCGAATCCGAAGCAACGCTTTGAATACGCGGTTATTTGCGCAGTTGTGTGAAGAAAATGACGAACACTTTCATTAATTACTCCTTCACACTGAAGTACGCTGGCTGTCGAAAGGCTTATGTTTGACAAGATTCTTTTGCACTTTTTGAGACTATTTTAGAATTTCTGGAGACTAAAGATAGAATTTTAAAAGAAAATTTAATGAAGAGGAAAACAGACATCGCCTATTTACAGATTTGTTGAGAGAGCTACTGCTTTTTGGTTATCAAGTGCCATTGTTGTATCGTCTGTTAAATCACAGAGTGCCAAAGCTGTATTATGACCTTGTCGAAAAAGATGGAATAATTTTCTTAGAATATAAGTAGGCGCAGAGAGGCTCGTAAACAACGTCTTCCAATACTTTATAAAAAATAGGCAGTAGATTGATCGGTCTCAGTTGACCATGTGACATCTATAAGAAAAAATAGGGTTGATGATTGAGCATAAGAGACAAAATGCCATATTAAAATTCTAATTATGCCATCTTGTAGAAGACAAAAAATGGCAATGTTGATGTACTTTTCATTTTGAAATTTTGGGAAAAGTCAGTTTCTTTTATCATCTGGAAATACTCAAAATTTTCGATTAGTTATGGGTAACTTTGCTCCTATTTAACCAACTTCATATGCATTACAATGGTTTGAGTCAAATTTGAAATACCTGGTATACTTGAAAGCATAAGTGGTTAGTGGCACCATTATACATACTTCCATTTTCACATAGGTACAGCTTTCAATGCTTATTTGGGGTTAATTCTTTTTTGTTTTCTCTTCAGGTATTAGATGAATTGCCTGTGATAACAACCACCACCTCCTCCACTAGCAGCAATGCAGGAGCCATCCCCAAGACATTGCCTTTTTCCTCTTCAAATATCCCCAGAGCAAGAGGGTTGAGTAATCTGGGCAACACATGCTTCTTCAACTCAGTGATGCAGTGCCTTGGTCAGACACCTTACTTGCTCCAATTGCTGGAGGAGACATCTGAGGATGGCCAGTACTTCAGGTTGCCTGGTGGAAAATTGACATTGGAGGATAAGGAAACTGTTGATTTGCCACCACTTGAAGGTTCGTTTTTTGCACCAACTAATTTTTTTATTGAATTCAAGCCAGATCGTATCACCACCTTTTTCAATACTCTGGGGTGTCTGACGATTCAGTCCTGAGTGACGCCTGCGAGGACGTAGGGCCTAAGTGCTGTGATATTAGTGATTGCTTTTCTTCCCATACAGAAAGTAGATTTCTAATTTTTGGAGAGAGGAGAAACATAGCTGTAACAAATACTTATAGATTACACTACAGTATTTCATGTCATCTTGGATCAATTTTTTGGCTCCGCGAATATAGTATTAGGTTATTGTCTTCAAGTACAGTCTTCGAAAACCAAAAGTTCTCTAATTTTGCTCTAACAGACAAGGTTAAAAATTGCTTCGAAATAAAAATACTCTTCACGGTCTTGTACAGCAAGGTTTAAGCTTCAGTTTAGAAACTTGGCGACCATATTTTAAAATGATGGCAACCTTGTTTTTCAGGCCAAAATCTGTGTAATAAATGTTTTGACCCAAAAAATGGAAACTCACACACTACACAAATTACTGTTTTCTATCCTTCTAGGTACTCTGGAAAAGTGGAAACCTCTTACTGGCGCTCTTGCTCAAACCCTGAAAGAACTCCAAAGCGGTAGAGCCGAAGTCTACAACCCACGCCTTCTCTTTTCCAAATTGAGGACGAAAATGCCTCAGTTTGGAGGAGGTGACCAACATGATTCTCACGAGCTGCTTAGGCATCTGCTTGAAGCAGTAAGGGAAGAGGACTTGAGAAGATACAAGACTGTTATTCTCGAGAAATTAGGTAAAATTTTCATTGTTGCTAGTATACCTATGTATTTTTTGCAACTATGGATTCATGTTGTAATTCAAAATGCTGAAAATTGACATGCTCGTTTAGAAATTTCAGGAAATGCTTAAGCTTTTTAAAATATTTTGATATTTTTGTCATGGAAAGATAAAAGTCTAACAACTAGCTACTAAAAATCCTATAACTTAACATGTGTAGCAGTTCAAAGTAATTGTTAATAACGGGCTAAGAGCAACGCGTGTGTCCCTCTGTTGTATGTATATTAGCTTTGTTTCAGCAAAATGATCAAGTGGTGTCCAGAAGTTCAGAACACATATTTCTTTCTTGTAACAATTACATGAGTTGATTGATTTCCCACAGAAGCAGTGCAGATCCCTGGCCGCAAGATATCCGTTGTAATTGACGAGTTCTCTTCTTCATCCTAGATTATCAACGCAGGTGTTCCCCGGTTATTGGTCTTGGCTGCGACATTGTTCCTTTCCTTCTTTACAAATCAACGACCTACTTTTTTGTACGATCAATCCGATCCACATCTTCCTCTTCCTCTCTGACGAGAGACCTGGAGGTTATCATTGCTCCTTGACTCAACAATTTGGTACAGTCTAATGCTTCCAAAGCACATTACTGTGCCTTGACTAACAAGAAACATTTTTGATGGTGGGGCGAGCTCTACCAAAGAGTCGTACATTTCGGCTGGTCGGAGTAGAGAAAACCGATGACTTGATCTGATACGAGCACATCTCAATAGCGACAGCAAGGCTACTTGCTCAGATCTAAGAAGTACTTTTCCCCACATAGACTCCTTACTATGTACAAAGCCCAGATAAGACCAAGCATCGAGTACTGCTCACATGTTTGGTGTGCTGCGGCCTCGACTACATTGTCCTTGCTCGATGCTTTTCTGAGGGCTGTCCGACTGATCGATGCCTTCTCTAACCGACATTCTGGGGACCCTTTCCCACCGGCGGGACGTCAGCGATCTAGGTCTCTTCTACTGCTACGCCAACGGGCTTTGCTCCTCACAGCTCTCCACTATGATGCCGCCGTGTAATGTGTCTGCCAGACAGATCCGACTGACTTCAGCCTCCCTCCCTAACCATGTTGAAGTTGTACGTTCAGAACTGGCTGCTACACAGTTCATAGGAAAGATCAAAAGTTTTGAATTCTCAGGAAATAAACTGGAGGTGATGTTCTCCTTGCTGCCAAAGACTTCATTGATGCTATGGTCGTTGAAACGAGTATTTCTATAAGTCCCCCAGCCTAAATAACAAATTCCCCCAAAAAGCACATCTTTAAAAAAAATCTCCCAAAACTTTCAAAGATATTTATTATTATTATTATACTTTGCAGGTTGGCTAAGATTGTCTTATGAGTATGGTATTTATGGTAATAACACTAATAACTAATAACAAGTAACATAAATATATATTTTTTTACTATCATAATATACGAGTAGTATGCTACAGCTCCGAGAATGCATTTAAAACTTCTTTCTCCTCCTTTTTGCAATCATACATTCTTTCAGAATTGAAATATTGCAACATATTTTCAGTTGGTTGAAAATCTGTACAACCATTTTTTAAATTGCACAGATACCATCGAACTCTCATGATAGCATCTGTACTATGAATCGCCAAGCGATTTCTAAGTTTGTTTTTTACCACATTTATAATGGAAAAAGCTCTCTCAACTGAAGCATTAGAAAATGGAAGGCTAAGTAACGCAAGAGCTAATGATGAAATATTTTTATATCTAGGTTCCCCTGCTGCATCGACGTTATTTGCCACCTCAACCCAAAACTTTTCTGTATCATGCAGGTTTATCCAATTTATTCGAGGAAGTGATTTCCATTCTGCAATTGTACTATCAAGGTCAGGACATATTGTTGAGAAAGATAAAGCAATATTAGTTATTTCAGGTTGACGTATCTTGGATGTAGCTAATTCGGGGTTAAATGAATTTATTTTCTCCAAAATATTCATACTTTCAGGGATTCTCATTTGAATTTGTCGACATAATTCCACTAAAAAATCTTTACATCTAGTTCGCACCATTAGTAGTTCATTTTGTTTAATTGCTAAGGATGACGCTTTTGAATTGAACGAATATCCTAAATTTATCAATTCTATATCCATAATGTAATCTTCAAATTTGAAATCAACGACGTTATTTTTTGAAATTTTTTGAAGTTTCATAGGTGGTACTAAAATACTTAGGTTATTGAAAAGTAATAAATTCAAATCTTCCATTAATTTCAGTGGATCTGCACACTCTGACTGAAACAGTTTATTAACTCTAATTATTTCTTTCAATGTCCAACTCAAAAAGGTGAAATATAATACATTAGTTTGGTCCGATAACATTTGAAACAGCTGTTCAGCCATATAACACCTTTCATTATCTTTTACTATACCAAAGTGTATTTTTAATGCATCCCATTGTTCTAGAATTTTAACTATCGCATTGTATCTGGCTAGCCATCTGGTTCCTGATAGTTGGTCAATTTTTAGTGGTTTTTGATCCGTCAGTGTTTCAAATATTTGTTTGTATGCTATTTGCCTTTTTGTACTACAAGAGAACCAATTGTGGCATTCCTTGATTATAAAGTCCAAATGACGAGGTAGAAGTTTAAATGCATACTCTGCTGCCAAATGCAGAGAATGACAGACGCACTTAATAATAACAAGTTCATTATTCTTTGCTTTCAAAAAAGAAGCTACTGAATTATGCGCTCCAACCATAACATTGGCTCCATCAACACCGATTCCTATTAGATTCCCTAATTTTAAACCGTCTAGCTCCAGTTGTTTTGTCACCGCAGCCGAGATAGTTATGGCATCTCCCTTTTCAATTTCGATAAGTTTGTAGAAAGTCGTAACAATCTTAGTTTGCTTTTTACTAAAATATTTTATCATAACGCATAGCATTTTTGTGGAATCGACTGCAGTGCTCTCATCTATAATCAATGAATATTTACTATCTGCAACATCCAAAAGTAAGTCATTTAGTATTGAAGGAGCCAACACATTCAATATTAAAGATGTACATTTAGTTCTGTGTAATTTAACGTCATTTAATATTTCAGATGATTTATCTAAATTTTTTACAAGTGATCCAAGATGATCAATTGTTGCAAGTGAGCAGTGCTCACATATGAATGCAGCAATTTTTAATTCTGCTATTTTCCTGCTGGCGGTCAAACCTTTTTTCATAAACTCAGTAATTTTTTTACTCGGGCCAGCCAAAGATCTTTTCTCCGCCTCTTGATGTTTCTTACTTTTACCGTGAAGCAGTAAGTCTTTTTTATGTGCAGCTAAAGTACATTTACATATCTTACAAAGCGACTTTGTCTCATCTGCTAATACAGGACCAATCCATCCTATATGGAATGAATAATTATAATTAATAACCCACACCATCAAAATTTCAATAGATTACCTTTAAGTTCAGCATCGGATTCCCAAGCAACTCGGTATTTTCGGGTATATAACGACTCCTTTTCTTTAGGCATATTTAGATTGACACGTACAACACTAATTTGGATAAACCATGCGTATTGAACACTCCAAAGTAAAAGAAATATAGCCTATAAAGTTAATGATAGGAAAGGAAATAAAGTTACACGATTCTCTGGGTTTCACATAGATGAGAAACACTTATTTAATCGCGCCATCTAACGCACAAAAACAAAATAATATTTTGCCGCTATTGAAGGAAACTGTAATGTAGGTGCTTCAGAATAATTTTAATAGTTGTTGAAAGATGGCAGGATTATCTGTAAATGAATTTATATTTATTCAAAGTTGTTCTCGAATTCCTATAATTTAATTGAAACTTGAAAATTGGTCGGACGACAGAATGTCTTCTTAAAATCGCACCCCCAAAAAACCCCAAAACGGAATAATTTTCCCCCAAAAAATCCCCCACGCATTGTATACCCCCAAAAATTCCCCCAAGCAATGAAAAATACCCCAAATTTGGGGGAAAATCCCCCAATCTGGTAACCCTGACCTGACGGCATAAGCGTTGTGAAGTATGAATCTTTCTTTGATGCTCTCGAACAGTTGGACTTCTTGAATGATGGTAATTCTATATTCTTTGGAGACTTCAATGCTCCTCGCTTTGTTGAGAAGAGCATACTTGATCCAAAGACAAAAGTTATATGCAATTATTTGGATCTGCTCAATTGCCAGCAACTGAATACCGTGACTAACCTTAAGCAGGTTATTAGACTTAGTAATTACACGTTTTACTTGTGAGGTCACTCATGATGTTATGCCTTTGGTTTTGGAAGACAAACATCACCCTGCTTTGAATATCTGTATACTTGATCTATTTGCCAAAGAAGCTAAAATCGAATTCAATTAAAGTGAACGTGTTTACAACTTCAGAAAAGCTGATTTTCCTTCTCTACAGAGAACTATATGAAACTGACTGGAACATATTACATATTTGCCTCTGAAGATGTTAATGCTGTCCTTGATAAAATATACGAGACAATATTTAGCATTTTTGACAAACATATACCAACCTATAGAAGCTATAGTTATAATTACCCCCCTTGGTTTGATTCGCAAATTATCCGCAATATTAAGCAAAAGGTGAAGTACAGAAATAAATTCAGGAGGTTAGGTCGGGGAGCTGATGAATGCGAATTTCAGCGGCTACGCAAATTGATTAAGCAGCTATCAAATGTGCATACGACAACTACCTTGAAGGTATTCAAAATTCATTATCGCATGATCCTAGGAGGTTCTGGTCATATGTGAATTCAAAAAAGAACACTTCTAGGATCTCTTGAAATATGTTTTACCTTTACGAATCATTTGATAATCCGCAAGACATTGTGAATGCCTTTAGTGTCTAGATAGAGTCTTAAGCAGCCAATTTGGGTAATGTGGACAATAGTTTCAATAATGTTGCTTATGTACATACATTTTGATGAAATTTATGATAATGAAGTAATGATTGCTATTAAGAAACTTAAGGACAAAATAACTTCAGGCCCCGATAATATTCCATCCTTTTTGATTGTGCCGGAGCATTCGTGTTTGTTTTACAAAATTCTTTAATTTGTGTGTTCGGTCGAAGAAGTTTCCAAAACTTTGGAAAGTCGCCAAAGTGTCCCCTGTGTTAAAAACTGGAGACAGGTCCAACATTGAAAATTATCGTACCATCTCCATTTTCTGCATGTTCTCGAAGGTCTTTGAGATAATACTTTACAATCGTAATTTATAGTTTGGCTCATAATCAACTTTAACAAAATCAACGTGGATTTGTTAAAAACCGTTCAACTGCTACAAATCTAGTCAAACTACAGTCAAACTAACATCAGGTAGTTCAAAAACTGGATTAGCAAAGTTTCTTTAAGCTCCTCATAGCAGCCGTAGTGTTCTAGCATTTAGGCTTCTGCCTACGCGGCTGCTTCGGTGTAAAAGAATTATATTACATAATCAGCTTTTATCCGAAAGGTAATTCAGATCATGCATGTTCAAAGCTCATAATTTCAATTTTTGCTAAATCAATAATGTTTTTTCATTGATATTCACTCTACTTTACAGCCTTATGTCAGGGTACAAATATTAAAGATACCAGAGCATACAAAAGTTGACTTAGATACTATACTTGATGTATATACAAAGTCAATTTGCCCAGAATTGCGTGGAAAGTACAGAGTCAACCTAATCGACGCTATTTTTTTGTATGGTTTCCACTTGTGAATTTGCATTGCACCATTTCACGTAACATGTCCCTATATGTTAGTATAACTAATATATAACATAACCATCCATACATTAACCGACCGTGTGTGTGTGTGTGTTTCAACAAAGCCAACCTTTTGTAACAGGTTTCAATCTAAAAACAGATCCGGCAACTGTGGAAGGCGACAAAAAGGCCATCATAAAATTCTACGGGCAGCAGGCGTCCGATTTACTTACACCTACTGAACAGGTATTCAGAGGCGTGCTGGTCAGTACGTTGCAGTGCCAAGTGTGCGACCATATGTCACATCGGGAAGAATACTTTTTGGATTTGAGGTTGGTTATTACTTATTTATTTTGCTTTCCAGAATGATTGAGCGTCAATAGCGCAAGTGCTTTAAATATCGCTTAATTATTTTTATTTACAGATTCAAATATATCACCATTATAGGTGATATTAATATTGATGTAACTAAAAATACAGTTGATCCAGGGATTTAATCTATATGCTAAGCTCCATTGTATCACAGATATGACTAGGATCACACCTATCACAGAGTCCTGTCTTGACAATGTTTTGACTAATATTCTATCAGACAATTTGAATTGTGGAACTTGTGTTTCTGGTCTGTCTGATCATGAGGGAGTTTATGCTATTATTTATGATACTGAAAATATTGGAGAATCAGCGTCTGTAGTGTATAAACGTATTATAACCAAAAACCGAATATTGTCATTCGTTCACTTTATTATTGATACATCTTTAATTATAGTTAACATCCAATTAAAAAAAACAAAATCCAATACTACATTTAGCTATAATGACATATTGCGCCAGATTAGAAAACATATGATTGATCTCAAAACTCACTTGAATGCGTCAAGGGATGAAACTATTTGGGAAAACTTCGAGGTATCTCGTGAAAATTATAGGAATGCCCTGTAACGTGAAAAAATAAATAGCTACTCAAATTTGATAGTCAACTCAATAGACAGTAAAGGTAAGACTGTGGGGAAGATATTAAACTATGAAAAGAAAAACCAAATCATCTGTAGTACTCATGAATCTCCCAATCAATTTAGTAACTTTTTGTTAGGGTATAGGGTATATTTCACGAGTATTCATTATGTTTTGACGTCTAATGAAGTGAACAGCTAATCCGAAAGTGACATCTTTTTTCATTAGTCTGTAACGTTGGCAATAATGAATCGTGTAAATCTTGTAAAATTCAGGACCGTATCAGGGCTGTTGTTCACATATCTAGATACTATTAGTGACAGGAAATTTTGACAATAAAATATCCGAACACATAGAAAATGTTAATTAGAAAATTATTATCTATATTATCTGGGATTTATTGACTACCAGGTAAGTCAATAGAACAGACTACATTATCCTTTCTGGTAGCTGCAAATTTAACTGTAAAATGTAATGTAGACACGCTTTTCTAGTTAATTGTCTGTCACCAGTATAAAGTAAATCAAATATAAGTTAAATATGCGCTACATTTATTTCCCTCTCACAAGTTCTATTAGTTTCCTCGCGACGTTTTCGTTTCGTCTGGATCTTTGCAGTGTTCTCAACCGTTGACCCATGCCCGTATTCACGAACGCTGCATTGTCCCAGTTGAGTACATTTCATGACTTCTTGCAATAGTTGTACGTTGCACTTACATTTTTCTAATCTCTCACTTCTAGAAATTAACTGGGTAATGTTCAGACCTAATTCAGGGAATCGAACCTCTACGAATTCATTCATATACTGTTATACATTTTTCACTGCCCTTTTAAAAACATTTATTGTTTCAAGTTCTGAATAGTATGATTAACTGTCAAAAAGTGTTTATCTTACTTTATTCCTGCCTAACTTGAAATGTAGTCATGATCATTAACAGCCATTTTGCTTGTTTGCAAGTGTCATTTGTTGATATGGGGAATTTTTAAATATCAATAGATGATCAGCAGTTATTCTACTTTAATAGATACTCGTGAAAAAAGCAGTATGTTAAAGACTCGACAGTAACCCAACCAAAAATACAGTCAAATGATAAATCATTATGACGTCACTGGGAAACGCGCCAAAAATGCTGCGCTCAAATCGACGTCATTGGCATTGCAGATTTAAATAGTCAATTAAAAATAAATAGGCATTTTCTGGAATGAAATTTGTGTTTACGGTATTATATTAACGTAAATAATCGACAAGAAATACAATTAATGCAGAAGTAATTGAAGTCGAGAGTGCTATGGTAGTCGTGTTTTTGTATTAGTAACTGGAAAGCTTTGACACAGCAGAAGTATCATATTGTCTGTTTCACGGTAAAATAACGCCATGTAGACAGAGCCGTGTTTTGTTTTGTTTCAGTGTTTTGTACGCTACAGATTCATTTTGTACTTGATAACAACTCTTTTACTTAGAAAAGTTCATTTGCATAGAAAAAGACGCTACAAGCAAGTTTTACTAGATTTACATCCGATTCATTATTGCCAACGTTACAGACTAATACAGATATGTCACTTGCTGATCAGCTTTTCGTTAGAACGTGATGGATACTCGTGAAATAGGGTTTGTCTTGAAAAAGGTGGAGTTTTTGTATAAATAATATTTTCACGTGACGATTTTTTTTAGTTTGCCGATTTGCGAAAAACAGCTACCTCCAGTCTTGAGAAGGAAAGCAGAAGATATAGAGGATAAACCTTCCAAACACCAGATAAAGAAAGAAAAACGTGCCGAAAGAAAAAAGAACAAGAAGCAAAAAAGCAATCAAAGCTTGTTATTGAATTCCAATACCTCTTTAGTGGCGTGGACCGGCGAAGAAATGGGCAACAAGTCTGAGAGTGAATCTGATGCTGATATCGAGGATAATGCTGAGGTGAGAAAATATTTTGATGTCAAATTTTCAGATTTTTATACACATAATTAGAATTTCAATATGACGTTTCGTCTCTTGTCCTCCAGCATCAACTTTACTTTTTCTTATAGTCGCCATATTTGATTTATGCGCAGATGAATAGGGTCTTTGATTCTGATTTCAAAAATGTACCATATGTCATACATTAACATTGCCAAACTATTGTTTGTTTCGTATATCAGACCAGACCTCACATTGAACATAGTAACCGAGTTTGAAAGACTGAGAAGAACGGAAATACATCGAGCAGTGAACAATGACAGAGAAGAGTCAGGCTTTGCATACAAATACCTATTATTTCCTTATAATTTTCGTTCCAACAACAAATTCATGGCCAATCAAGAAAACGCGTCACTAAATTTAGGACTGAAAAGTTAATTCCAATATACCTTAGCGTCCGTATGAAAAAACAAAGTTAGTCATGAAAGTCGAAAGAAGAGACCTCGAATTGAAAGTTTGACTACGCCATTTTGTAGAGGAGAATAAGTGGCAATGACAACATGCAATTTATGGTGAAAGCCCATTTCAAATAAAGTCAGGAAAAAATAAAAATAACTTTGCCGTAAGTGTGGTATGCGAAACAAATGACTATCTGATAATTTCAAGACCTACCTAGAAAATTCTGTTTTATTTAAATATCTAAAGATTTGGTAATGTCAATCAATGTATGACATCCTATACATTTTTGGATTCAGAATTAGAAACTATTCATCTGTTCAAAAATCCAATATGGCGCCGGTAAAAAATAAAGTTGATGCTGGAGGACAAGAGGCAAAACGTCATATTGAATTTTTCATCTTGCAGAGGAGAGAAAGTGGCGGTGCGATGATAATGTAAAATTTATTTTAAAATTCCACTACAAATAAGTTCAGGAAAAAATCAAAACGATTTTTGAAAAATTAGGGTTTTTCCGCCTCTCTGCGGATGTACTTTGAATTTGGAAACTTTCTAAGCGGCATTTTGTTAATTACCCAAATACCCAACTTTGCCCACATTTAAGCGACTTCGTATCTCTTACAGTTTCCGAAACCCCACTGGTGAAGGTCGAATTTGAAACACCCGGTTTATGTTTATATGAGCTTTTTTGGTTATTGTTGGATGTATTTTATTTTCTTCTCTAGAAGTATTGCCATTGTTTCTTGAGTTATCCTCTATAAACATGTATATTATTGTCCTCAAAAAAGCAAAATCCTGCATTACCTTTTGGGAGGCCCTTTATATTTATGTTTATTGAAACGATTGAGAGGCTTTATATAAAATTTGCGTTATTATTTAAACAGTTTTCATTTCTTCAGGACTCATCGAACAACAGCGCTCCCCGTTCCAACACCGTAGGCGTCCCCGGCGGTGAAGAAGCCCTGCCGAGCCCTCCTTCGATCAGCACGAAAGGTTCTGAATCGGGGTACAACTCGGACAAGGCCGAGGGGGGCGTAGGCCCAGGGCCGCAGGTATTGGGAGACACGCCACCCGACGCGCGCGCAGTCTCCCCTTCGGCAGGGGACAGTGGCGTGCCGTCGCCGCAAGCGGGGGCTGCGTCTACGCCCGAGGATAGGAGTCCCGACTCTAGTGAGACCAATGTGGATATGGGGAGTCCGCAGGCGTGTTGTGGGAACAACAGTCCGAATGAGGAGTAAGTGTTGTGGTTTTTTTATAGTGGAGAACTTCAATATTGAACATTTATTAATTTAATCAATCGTAGTTGTGATTTTAACTTACTTATTGGACAGAACTCAGGCCGTAAAAGTTAATAACAATCATCATTATGTTAAATCTGATGCCAAACCTGATTCCACAGGTGCATCACAAGGAAGTAACTTGGGTCCACTTTTATTCATTTTGTTTATAAATGATATGCAAGCTGCATGTCCTGATATTTTCAAATCGGTTTTTGCGGACGACACAGCCTTCAGTACTCATGCTTCTGACCCTCAGATACTAGGTACACGGACAAATGCTGCGTTTACTCAAATGAGTGAGTATTGTAGGTCCAATGGCTTCGTACTGAATGCACAGAAAACGGATTTGGTCCTATTTAAGAATAGTGTGTGAGAGCTATTGGAATTGTCTATAATATAAGGCAGAATAGCTATTGTAAATATCTCTGTACTTGTATGGACTCAAAGATGACTTTTTTAACTAAATTGATCACTTGGTCAAAAAACCATCAGTTCAATCATTCATCATGTGACAACTCGGGCAGTATGTAAATATCCAACTGTTCGAGTCGAAGACAAGGATTTTTGCAGCTGCACGAATCACATGGTACGCGGCAACACCGGCTGCTGCTGAACATGAAAACCTCTTTCAGTGTTGTACTAGGGGAATTTACATGCGATTATCTCCGCGGAAATGGCGGCCGTTTTTGACACTGATGGGAGAGTTGTAGTTCTGATTCGGCGTCATCAAGATGATTACACTGCCATCTAGAGCATTCCATTAGGGTTTTCGACTAGGCATGGAAAACGCTGGATTATTTCTCGACTCGTCGATAGGGGAATAAATATATTGTAGGCAGAGATAGTGGAAGGAGGACAGTCAGTCAACGGACAGCATCCGATCAGTCACAAGCCTTAGTCGAGTCGACATGGTTATAAATTTGTCATAAATTAGTTGCAAGTGTTATGATAAATTAGTCTAAAAGAAGCAAATTATGCTTTGAACCGTAAGAACAGTGTTTTCGGAGTTGATCATGGATATCACGAATCTGATTTAATAATAATAATAAATTCAATCATCCTTTAGATTTTTACAGATATTGGACTTGTCATCATAATAGGATGAATAGGTTAAACAATGGCATCTATGACGATTGGTGAAACATTTTTTTGGACACACATGAACACAATCATGTAGATAAACATTAGAGAGACAAATAATACACGATTTACTGATTTAAAAATTCTTGAAAGGAATAAAAGCAGCTGCGTAAAAAATCCTTTAACGAATTCTTGAATGAAGTATCATATTTAGGACATTTTATAGATGTTAGCAAGTAGTTATAAGGTTTTTGGCCCACGTATACCGCACTACTTTCATACAAAGTTGTATTATGCTTGACAGATTTTAAAGATTTGTCACTTCAGGAACTATATTTATGTTTTTTTTTGATATGTGTTCTTTTCGCGAACATAATGCATTTGTAAATGTACACTGATGGCAGGGTATCTTATAAGTTTTGAATGATGGTCGAAATGATTCCATGGGTTTTAAACTAAACATCGAATAATTCTTTTTAGCATAATGAATACTGGGCAAGGATGAATTACTTCACAGTACCAGCTCATATCATTGTCAACATGTAGACCAAAACATTTTGTTGAGCCACTGATGATAACAATATTAAAATTGATAAGGATTTCTAAATCGTCAATTTTGATTCAAGATCTAGAGCCATCATAGCACTTGATGCACACCATGCACACAGTTTTGTTAGAGTATACTATCAGGGAGTTCCTTTTATACCACAATGTGAACTCTCCTGGTATTGTTACCATCTTGGTTAGAAGTTCTTCAGGGGTTTCAGCATCAACAGCTATGGTTGTATCAGCAGCGTTATGTTGCTTGCAGTGATGTAAGATGGTAGATCATTTAGAAAAAGAATGAATGAATGAGGTACACCAAGAGGGACATCGTACTCATAATGAATACTGTACAAAACATTCTCGACTAAATAAATACGACTTGAGCCATAACAGGATATTACCACAAAAGCCAATGCTAGACAACTTTTTCTCTATAAGGTTTGGGTCGTTTATATTAAATGCCTTTCATAGATCAAAGAAGAGCGTTTCCTCCTATCAAGACAAGTATAGAGTGTATATGTGGGAAACCAAAATTACGAATGGTATATTTTTGAGTGAGGATTACAAAAATATGTTTACTCTCTCACCCAGTTATAGAAAAAATCTAATATCTTGGCATTTTATTTTTGCAGTGTCTTCGAGGACTTTGACTTTGAAAGGCCACAATCAAGGCTCGCTTTCGCTAACACTGATCTCAAGATGGACTTAGAAAAACTTAGTTTATTGAATGATGGTGATTCCTCCAAAGTCAACAGTTTGTTTCATCATGAAGAAATGGACAGTGATCTTAAAGGTGCTTGTGGTCCTGTGATAACAGAAGATGAAAAGGTAATATTTGGAAAAGAATTACTATATTTTCAAAGTCGCGGAGCATCGCGACATCTAGCAGTTCATTTATAGATAGATAAATATGCTTTATTATCTAAATAGTCACATCCGTTTTCCTTTTTTTACTGAAATGCTGAGAGCAAATGAAAGCCGCCTGAGATATAAACTACTTTTTTTCACTATTATCGCATGATATCGTCATTATAACGACCGCAATGCCTCATTGAGAAGTACTATTCGCCAATAACCTAACAATTTATCACCTAATTTATATGATGTACCGAATAAGTTGGATCCTAGGCTACGCCACTGAATGACGCTTGAACGTGTGACCTTTCAAATCATATGTTCCCTAAAGTCAGTCATTTTCAGGCTTTGTTTATACACGCACCGCACTAATAATATATTCCAGCATCCAAAAACCTATCTGATACTAACGCCATCTATGAGACAGTAGCATGACTCAAAAATCTGCTTTGAAAATAGAGTGTTTCGTCTTGGGTATCTTCAGGTGGCATGTGTTGATCAGTTCTTGAATATACCCAAATAAAGTGGTGCCAAAAAGTAATTAAGATCTCAGCGCTATCTTTGAGGTAGTAGGAGGACCAAACAATAACTCTTTCCAAATGTTTCTAGATTAATTTTTGTAATCTCTATGCTTGTCTGGCCAATATCCACATGTATTAACAGAATCTTTAATGTAAACGTTTCAATCACAAAGATGGTCTTCTTCATTGAAACATTTACAATAAAGAAGATTCTGTCAATACATGTGGTTTTATTGACCAGACAAGCATGGAGAATTATCAACATGTAAACCTCAGGATAAATTTCAGATGTTACATCATTAATTATTCTGTTCTGCTACAGCCTCATATACAGGGTGTAACCTAAAGGAGGTGTTGAACGTGACCACCTCTGGATTCAACAGAAGAAAAAGAAATATTGGCACGTCTTTCTGAAACACCCTGTATAGTACTAGGATTACATATACCTTTGGATCCACATTTTCGAGAGATTCCACTTACTATATTTTCCATAAAATAGGTGTTCCTTCGTTCTGAAATTATTTCTTCTTGACTATGTCTTCCTTGAAACGCCTTTTGGATAGTTATTCCTTTTAACCGAGAGGTACAATATTTTCTAGTATTATCATCAAATTTTCCTATTTTCTCAGATGGAAGAAGACGAGTACATGATGGACAGCCCCTCATGGCTCGGCACCATGTCCGGCGGTCGGTATCAATGCGAAGAAGGGGAATGTTCGATTCAATCCTGCCTGAACCAGTTCACAGAGTGCGAGTTAATGGCCGGTAACAACCGGGTCAGTTGCGAAGTGTGTACCAAAAAAAGTGGTCAAGGCAAAACGGTGTACACGGACGCTAGCAAGCAGTTGCTCATCTACAATCCTCCAGCGGTGCTTATTTTGCATCTAAAGAGGTTCCAGGTAAGACTCGAGGAGAGATTTCATATTTTCAATGACCTCCAAGAATCGAACACTCGCAATATTGAAAAAACCTAGAAAAATAGCGGAAATATTGTGACGGAAACTAGTTATAGGTTATAAGTTATAACTTTTAAAATTTAAAAATTATATCTCCAGATAGGATAAAAATCGACTTGAAATTTTGTACACACAGTGTACCCTTTTTTGAACGGGTCGACTTAGCTAGCTGAAATTCGGGGTAATAATAATAATAATATCTTTATTGCCCAACAGAAGAATCCACTTGTAGGACAATGGAATTGAAGTAAATAGTTAGATTACAGGATTTTCATCTGAAATAATAGCCATGCCAGTTTCTTGAAAAATTGAGGAAACGAATGAGTAAATTACTACATGCCTTCAATAATATAAATTAAATAATTAAGGGTGGTCTAACTATAACGCATGATGTTAATGTGTAAATAAAACTAAAAGCTTTCATAGAATTATTTTAATTTTTTTTATTATGACAGAAGGACCTATGGCATTTATGTGTGAAACAAAATATCGGCTTCGGTGGCATATCTCTATCTGATGTTCCATATTTGCAATGACGCGGTGGCATAATTGAGATTCAGTGTTGTTAATGTGCCGAATTATCTTATCCTTTAGCTCTTGAATTGTTCTTGGCTTATTGACGTACACTTTTTATTTTAAATATCCCCAAGGAAAAAAGTCCAACGGTGTCAAATCACATGATCGTGGCGGCCAATTGACATCGCCACGACGTGAGATAACACGGCCATTGCATTTCTCGCGCAAAAAAGCCATGGTGTCGTTGGCTGTGTGGCAAGTGGCACCGTCCTGTTGGAACCACATACCGGACAGCTCCATATCCTCAATTGCTGGCCACAAAAAGTCCGTTTTCATCTGGCGTTAGCGAACACTATTCACGGTAACTGCTTGGCCGACCTCATTTTCGAAGAAGTACGGCCCGATGACGCCGCCAGCAGATAAACCGCATCAAACCGTCACTCGTTGTGGATACATCGGCTTTTCAACAATCTCTCGTGGATTCTCATTTGCCCAAATGCGACAATTCTGCTTGTTAACGAATCCACTGAGGTGAAAGTGTGTTTCATCGCTGAAAATGATTTTCTTCGTAAAGTCATTATTCACGTCTGTCTGTTCAACCAACCATTCGGCGTATTGACGACGCTTGAAATGATCATTCGGCTTCAGCTTTTGAGTCAATTGGACCTTGTAAGTATGTAAATTCAAGTCTTTATTCAAAATTCGCATCAGTGATGTCCGTGAGATGTTCAATTCTTGAGCACGACGGCGAGTCGAGGTTGACGGCTCTTCTGCCACACTGTCACGAAGAGTAGCAATGTTTTTTTGCAGCGAGCTGGGCGAGCATGCAAATTTGTTTTTACATCTCCTACAGACCCGGTTTGCTGAAATTGTGGACACATTGGGTCGATTATGCTGACCAAAAAAAACACGGAGTGCACGAAATGCATTTTGATTTGCTCGCCCATTTTCATACAACGCTTCAACAATCTTAATGCACTGCTCAATTGTGTACCTCTCTATGGTTGAATTTGTCAAACACTGGAACAGAGAAATGTCAAATAAAGTTGGGCAAAAAACTTGACGGTAAGGTGTGACTCACAATTAACATCGTGCGTTATGGTTGGACCACCCTTTAGTATTCACCACCGAATTTACCCAGCATATATTTATTGTGATGAATGTCACAACTATCTGCTATTGCGTTAATGCTGATGGTAAAGTAGATGGCTGACTTAATCATCACATTAGAGTTTGGAGTTTTCAAGTAAAAAGTAAGACAACTTCGGGAAATTCGAGATGTCACATGAAAGCAATTTTAGCTAATAAAGCTGGAGAATCTACTTCACTTTGTATGAGTTTGTAAAGAAATTTGAAGCTATTACAAATTCTCCTCAGCTCAAGAGGATGAATTTCAAATCTGACCAAAATCGCTAATTGGTCAGTCCGACGACGGTTGTAAACATCTAATTTGAATATCAAGTACTTAAGAAATCTGTGTTGCACGCATGTTTTACAATTTACATTAATATGATCGATGAATTCAAATTTGGCATCAAACAACACACCCACATCTCTTACGTCCGAGTAACGCATTAAGTTAAAGCCTTCCAGCATATATCAAAAGCTATTGGATTCGTTTTTCTGATAAAAGAATAGAACTAACATTTGACAACATTTGGAGATAATCCATTAGTCGAACACCATTCAAATATAGGGTGCCCAGTGGGAAAGTTCACTTTTTGATTTAAGAAAAAACAAACTTAATGAAAAGAAAATATTTGTTACTATCAACATATTCGTAAATTCGACGGGTTTTATTTCTTAAATATCATTCCGTCCAAATGTTTGCCATCCCTTCTGAAACACTCTCTTGCAGAGTTCCGGAGTGATATTTATTTCTCGTTGAATGTTGTCTTTAAGCTCCTCCAGTGTTCGTGCATTATTGGAATACACTTTTGACTTTAGGTAACCCCACAAAAATAATTGCATGGCGTGAGGCCGGGTGACCTAGGAGGCCAGTGAATGTCTTCAAACTTTGATATAACTTTTTGAGGAAAAAGTGCTTTCACCGTGTCTATCGATTCTCGGGAAGTATGGTTAGTGGCCCCATCCTGTTGAAACCATGTGTTTCTGTTGAATCGACGTTCTCTTCTTACAATAAGAGCAAAAAAAGTATTAATCATGTCCTTGTCTCGCTCGGTATTGACTGTAAATGCATGACCGTTTTTATCTTCACAGAAATACGGCCCAATAATAAAATAATACCGCTAGAGGATATGATGCACCAAACAGTCACCTTTGGACTATGTAGCTGTTGTTGATGTTTCTCTTTCGGGTTCGTTGGTGCCCAATATCTGCAATTTTGCTTGTTCGCATAACCGTCTAAGTGAAAATGGGCGTGGTCACTGACGAGTCGAGTCTGCTCTGCGTAGGAAAAAGATTCAACATCCGTTATACATAATCACTTTCCTTTAAAGCATGGACTGATTGGTTTTTATAAGGATGAGAACACATTTTTTTCTTCTTTATGCCATGCAGTGTTGACCTAGAGATTCCCAAAACAGCGGAATGCTTCTGTACAGAACGCCGAGGATTTGCAATGACCGAATCACTTACTCGACGTACATTTACTTCGGTTAATACAGTAGGTGTGGGGCCAGTAAAGAGTTGACTAAGACTAGAGCCTGTTTCACGGAACCTCTTAATCCACTTTTTCAATATGTCAATCAACACCTCTCCCCACTTCCTGTGGTACGCCGGATGAGTCTGAGTATGGTGAAGATCTGAAACCATTGTAAGATACGATGCAAGTAAGATGAAAAGAAATCCAATACCGATGATTCTTTGGTAACGAAATTGATGCATGAGTACTATATTTTAGCTTAAAATTGATAGTTGGAAGCGAATCATTATACAAAACAAACTTTGGTAGCGTGCCAGTCCCCCATTTTGAAAGATAGTGATTTTATATTCTAGAGTTACAACTTATTTATGAGGAACTTCTAAATAAGTGCCACCTTTTAAAAAATTGTTACAAGATGGCGCAATCTTGAAAGTTTAAACTGTTATTTTTAAGTTCTGCTACCCTGACCCGTTGAAAAAATAAGTTGGGGCTAAAAAGAACTGTAAATTTTGGATATTATAAGCAATATGTAAAAATTTCGCATGTCCTAAACTACAGATAATTTGATTTCTACGTAAGAAAGAAAAATATATTTTAACTTGAAAAACTTGAATGCAGTCAACTTTGAATACATTATAATAATTCAAGTTTGACTTTTAATTTTTTTTTTCACTTTTTGCATACTGTGCTTATTTTTTGAAATAAGCTACATTTTTTAAACGGCAACCTTTACTATACCCTATTTCACGAGTATCCATCACGTTTCGACGTCTACTGAAGTGAACAGCTGATCAGCAAGTCCCATCTTTATATTAGTTTGTAACGTTGAAAATAACGAATCAGGTGTATATTTAGTAAAACTTGCCTGCAGCGTTGTCAGCAAGTATAAAACCAAAACAACAACGGTTCTGTCTACCTGGCGTTGACGGATCTGTCAGAATTATGTCATTTGTCTATATGCGGAATTTTAAAATATTGTTAGATAATCAGCTGTTATTCTGCCGTAACGGATACTCGTAAAAAAGATAATATAGTCTTGCATTGCAAAATTATTTTTTCCTCGAAAATTAATGTGTACAAAAAGTGTATACATATTTTTGATCTTCTAAATGAGTATCTCGACTTCATTAAAGACCAGTGGCATACTGAAAATGTTATACCCGGGTAATAATTCAGCAATTAATAGCAACCTATAATCTCAAGTGATGAGTCCTTCTCCGCATCACTAGCCATTGAAAAACTCAGATTCGTAGTTTCTAGGAACATTGAACATACTATATTTTTAAAACGAGACGTTTTTCAACAGATAATTTCAATAAGTCTTCTGTGCGTCGAATATTTCTGGAAGTGAAACATACAGTAGAAGCAATCAGAATGGTATATTCCTATGCTATATACTTTGTGAAACATGTGGTATTTATGTTCTGTATACTCAATAGACCTGTTCAACAGATCTGGTGTCGGATTGTAAACACCTAAAAATCAAGTACTGTACTTTGCCGAACAAGAAGCACGCTAGTGCTCATCCGGTTTCGATATATAACCGAGTTCTACCAAAGAGCCCTTCATTTCGGCTGTTCACCGAGGACTTGATATGTCACGAACACATCTCGTCAATAGTGGCAGCTGCTGGGAAAGAGCTAGGTTATTTGTTTAGGGCTAAGTAATTTTCTCCACATGACCTCCTCACTCTGTATAAGGCCCAGATAAAACCTAGCCTCGAGTACTGCTCACATGTTTGGGCTGCTGGCGCCACGACTATATTATCCATGCTCGAAGCTGCTTCGCACCGGCAGGCTGTCGGCTACCTAACTCTCTTCTACCGCTACGCCAACGGGCTTTGCTTCTCAGAGCTCTCCTTCATGATGCCGCCGCTCGATGTGCCTGCCTAGCAGACCCGCCTGATTTCAGATTGCCACCCTAAGCGTGTCGAACTTCGTATATCCATAACTGGCCAATTCGACAGCTCCTTTGTCCCTAGGAAATTGTGAAACAATATACATGAGGGGGCTTTTACCAGTTCTATTAACCTTAGACAGTTCAAAAATCGGTAAAACGACAATCAATTCGCATTTTTCACCTTAAAAATTCCATATTCCATATGAATGGTACTATCCATCAGTATACTACTACTGTTACTGGTATAGGCGCCGAAATTCCACGTGCTCCTCATATTTTAATTTTGTTAATATCTCTTGCCTTTTTCAGGTTTTTCGACTCCGCTCAGCCAAAGTATCAAAATTCGTGAAATTCACCACGCTGTTGGACCTTGCACCGTTCTGTTCGAAACGGTCGCAGAACCTGCCAACATTCGAGGCTGGCCAAACTAGGGTATTATATTCATTGTACGGGGTGGTGGAACACAGCGGGTCTATGCATGGAGGTCACTACGTTTCTTATATTAAAGTACGACAACCTTTGGATCAAAACAGTTATAGGTAAGAATAATCAAATTAGTAGAGTTAGAGTATAAGCAAAAATAAAAATAATGCAATATGTAGATTCATTTGAAGGTAAAAAACAATTTTGTTAGTGTGTAGAAAATAATGGAGCCTATTTCGAACGGTTGCTTTAGCAATAGAAAATAGCGTATCTTCCACGTTTGTCAATGCGTCGCCATAACCTCAATAGCTTCTTTACCTGTAGGTGCAAGGAATATATTACGATTCTTATGTTTATCGCATTACAACAAATGTGAAAGGTTCGTAATGCTTATTTCTGTGGTTTTTAGTTCATAGATTGCAGCCTACCAATAGTAATGTAAGAGTTTTTGCAATAGAATGCATTTTAAAAAACAACCCTAATTTTTTTTACCGCATTCCAAAATTGAGTGACGCAAAAAATTAATATTTATTTCCATTTTTAAATATAAAAAATATGTATCTAACAAAAAAAACAGTCAAATAGTAAAAAATAAGATTTAACGGCACAATATTCTTCCACACTATAAAAGCTATTTTCAATTGAATAACCTTTTAAGACATTCTTAAATGTCTCTAGATTATGGCTATTTTTTATTTTCAAATGCAGTAGATTAACAATTTTTAGGAGATTAATGTTTGGGAACTTACACATAATTCGAGTTGTATAGGGTGGTATATAGAAGTATACACTAATCCTCGTATTAATTGAATTGCATTTGGCCGGGTGTTGAGAATTTTTCTCTATTTTCAAATATATATGGTGAAATTCAAATTTGGCTGATAACGTAATGTGTACGTGAGAGACGGGCGATAAGCGTGCTATGTGTATGTTAAAAAGAGTGCGCCGATGGCTTCCGTGGCAGTCGTACTTGGTTGCTATGCGAGGAGGTGCGTGTTAGTACTTTGAATCTCTGAAACAGATCTCTACATGATGTTCTAGCACCAACACCTGCTATACATCTGATAATTCTATTTTGTTTCATGAACGCATCCTTTGAATTAGTAGAGATCCCCCAAAATGATATGCCATATCTTATGTCAGAGTCAACCTGTGCATGATACAAACGAATTCATTGATTTAATGGTAGAAAATCTCTTAAAGTTAATAACAGATGATATAATGAATAGACTTTTTGCTTTGATTTTTATTGAGCTATGCAACAATTCGTAAAACGAACCAATCAGCTAATATTTACAACAAAATCGTAGCCGTAGACATAACAGTTGTCTTGTATTTGCGTTTGAAAGACCTTAATCCGGTTTTTCTCAGAGTTCCACAAAATTATCTTGTACTAGAGAATATCGGATCACATACAGGGTGTCCGCAAAGTTGGGGTTTTCCTTTTCAGAAACAACTACCCTTGAAATAACAAAGGTAATGTGTAGTGAAACGAGGGCGACCAAGTAAAAAAAAATAAAGGAAAAAGTACTCACTCTCCAGTTGACGAGAAGGGCTAAGTACGTCTCTGCCCGAAATCATACCGCTCCAACAGAAAATGAAATCAGCTGATGCGCTACCGAGCAGACGCCGGCGGTGGTGCAGACCACGAACAGAGGTAACAAATAAGACGACGTTGCCGCGTTTTCAGTTTTTAGGTAAACGTACTTTATAGGTATTGTTCGAAGTTATCGCCGTTTGATTCAAAAACACAAGTGCGTGCACGACGTAGCCAAGCATCGGTGCAGGCTTTGAGAATGGAGTCCCTCCCCCGAATGAAAGCACCAGCTTGTTCAATTCTGAGACGAAGTTCGTCAACCGTATGCACTTCAGTTTTGTACACTAAGCGTTTCATTTCTCCCCAAAGAAAAAAACCACATGGTGTTAAGTTTGGAGATCGCGGAGGCCACGCTACGGGTCCATTACGTCCGATCCACCTATTCGGAAATAATTCATTCAAAAACTCACGCACTTCGCGTCTAAAATGGGGCGGTGCACCATCGTGCAGAAACCACATTGATTGTCTTACACTTAATGGCACATCTTCTAACAAGGAAGGCAAAATGTTGCGTAAAAAGTCTAGGTATTGCATCCCGTCCAATCGATTTGGGAGAATAAATGGTCCAATGAGCATACCGTTCACCATGCCAGCCCAAACATTCACCGAAAATGTTTGTTGAAAATGTGCCCGACGGACAGCGTGCGGATTTTCTACTGAGCAAACATGAGTGTTGGGAAAGTTATTCACCCCATTACGCGTGAACGTAGATTCGTCTGTCACCAATATGCACTTCAAAAAGTCTGGATTATTGTCATGTTGATGCAACAACCACTCACAAAACCGCACTCTTGCTGGAAAATCGTCAGGTTGAAGGGCTTGTACACGTTGGACGTGAAACGGATACAGCCCCTCTTCACGCAGCGTTTGCCACACTTTAGTTTTTGATACTTGCACGTCTCTAGCCACGTCTCTAGTGCTTGTTGTTTTTTGAAACGCAATCGATTATACCGGTTCGTTTACCTCTACACGCGTGACCGTAACCGTCGGTTGAAGGTTGTATACTGACCTGACACACTGACCCCGACCCAGTTCTGTCGTCGGGTTGAGCTAGTGTCCTAGTACCACTCGGGGATATCGCGGGTCGCGGCTACAGGACGGTATTAAGATACTTTTGATGTTGCAGAGCCCTTTATCTCGGTTCCCTTAAGAGATTGGTGTATATGGTACTAAGAAAAATTGTTTACGTTTTCAAGATCTACACGTCGTGTAAAGGAAAACCCCAACTTTGCGAACACCCTGTATATAGGAGTTCAATCGATAGATATTGATATCGACTGACTTCCATTGATCCACCCATAAATTTACACCATATACAGGGTGGGGCAGAAAGACTTCCCCGATTTCTAGAGCCGATAAAAACTGATCAAGATATAGAAAAAAATGTATTTTTTTAATGCATATATAATGCCATTTTAAGTCAATGCATTTTGCAAATGACATCACGGAAGTGTGTGCCTCCATTGTTGATACTCTCCCGATAATTTTTCATCACTCTGCTGATCATGTCAGGCGGAATGGCAGCAAGTTCCCGGATTATCGTCTTCCTGAGAGTGTCTAGAATTTGGGGGCGATGTTGGTACACTTCTTCCTTCAGGTAGCCCCAAATAAAAAAATCACAATGGACCAAAGTGAATGCGAAAGGCATGATGCGCCATTATCGTCGAACCTCCATTTCGAATAAACTCATCAACGACGAAAGCGAGGTGCGGTCCTGACCGAGCCATGATTTATACTAAAAATGACAGCAATAGACACGTCGAATGGTATATCCTCCACTGCGCTATCCCCCTCCCCCATTGGCGTAGCTAGACGGTTTCCAAATCGGGGAGGTCTTTCTGCCCGACCCTGTATATTGGTGAATATACTGTATTTGGGTTTGAATATACGGTATTTAGGTTTTGAATGTCAGCTAAGAAAAATAGCTTATTTTGGTTTCATATTAATTGTGTCACAAGATATGATAAGTGATTCATATTTGACAGGGTCAGATCGTTGGGTCAGATATTATTTTAATTTTGACAGCTTTTGTAGGTGCCAAGGGAAAATATGTGTTCAGGGGATGACATTCAAACTACGAAAAATATACTTTAAACGTGATATAAATACTATTAGTTAAGTAAATTCAATAGTTCTTTATTAAAAGTAACAATCTTCAGTTCAATTGGTCTTGACATAAGAGAATCATATACACCTTCGGAAAAACCATTATTATACATTATGATGAGGAAGAGAGATGGAAATATACAAAAGTATGTAGGTGCGTGAAAGACACTCGATTGTAGGATCCGATCTGGCAGCGTCGGAGTGTGACGGACAACGGGGTAAAGTAGAAGAGTGATAAAAGAGAGATGGCAGAACGGGCGCTGGCGCCTGCCGCTTAGACGGATGCGCTCAACAAATGCGATTTGTTTCTCCCATTCGCAGAGTTGCTGATACCAATATCTCATATTTCTAAGAAATCTAAGTCTACCCAAATTTCGGGAAAAATAGCTGCGGATTCCACATAAGAGTATTCCAAAAGTGAAAAAAGTTCAAACTATTAAAATTGTATTAATGTTTCATGGTTCAAATAATATTTTTAATGTTTGTATATTGTTGTATAAATGATTTTGTAATCCCTACTCTTGTTGCCAGTAGAGATACAACAGTATTGAGAGAAATCATGGACCGCTAGATAGGGCTACAACTACCATATGACTATCAAATAGTAGTGATAAACAGGGTTTGTTTATAGCACAGTTGCCTGGTGTGGCGAATTTGCGCCATAGGGGCGATTTGACAACTTTGAAGGACAACTATAACGGGTACTATGGTGCCCGGTATTCGGGAATCTGGCAATACCTGATGATTCCTAACGTTTATTACGCCAGATTGTTTGCTGACTTGCGCAGTACAACATGACAATCAACGTGACTGAGCACCTGGTAACCCTGGTTTAAGGTGTTATATTTAAAGAGCTTGGGGCAGTTAGGCATCTAGGTCACATTTTTTAATGTATTTCGAGAAATCCGTAATGTTGAGTAAATACTAGATCACGTTTCTTGCTTAGTTTGCTGAAAATTCTACAATAGACGTACATTTTGAAAAACAGAGATTTGGTGACGACAAAATCGTAAAAATATAACGCATTTTCGTAAAATAATTTCTTTGTTGAAAAGACTGTGGCTTGATGACCCATTGAACGAGTATAGTGTCCCGCTCCGCTTTGAATATTCGAAACACTATACTCCAGCAGCATTCAGCTTCAATGTTATCTCTATGAAGTTCTAACGTCTAGGCCATGCTGATTAAAAGCTTGAATGAATCAACACTTAACTCTAAATTCCCCACAATTCGGGAAGCTCTACTCAAATTGGCAACACAGCGTATCCGCCCATTATTCTCATTCGTGATACAGGTCTGCGGTCTGCTGCAAATTTCAGTATGCGTTGAGTCGACAGAAGAAGTACTGTAGATGCGCGCATTACGCACCAGTTCGATTGGACGTCCTGTGAACCGATTTTGGTGATTTCGAGATTTCACGAAATCACCTAAATCACTCTACTTATTTTTATGAATGGATAATTGGTTTTGTAGCAATAAAAGTTGCGTCTCATAACAAAATAAGAAGATACCCACTCTAACAAAAAAATAGTACACTCTTAAAAATGTGTAACGAAAATAAAAAGATATTATAACAAAAAAATAAGTTCTCAAAAATAAAACGCAATGATGAACACAAATGTTTCAAATGGTCCTTCACAGCTGGGGCTCAAAAACGTCTCCTTCATTCAATGAACAGTATGTCAGGCGGTTATAAAACTCCTGACGAACTCTCAAGGGGGTAGAAGGCTGTATTTTCCCGAGCGCTTCAACGATTTTCACCTGTAGGTTATGCAAATTGTCTGCTCTCTCATTGAAAGTGTAAACAGTACTTTTCACATAACCCCGCAAGAAAAAATCATTGGGCGCTAGATCGGGTGATCTAGGAGGCCATTTTATTGTTCCGTTACCGCCAATCATCCGGTGGCCGAACACACTTTCAAGGTAAGTGTGTACGATCGCCGCATTATACGCCGGGCATCCATCTTGTTGGAACCAAATATTAGCGAGATCAATGCCAAGCTGCCTAATTGCAGGAACAATCTGCGTCTCTAGTAACGCCAAATATTTTGCAGCCGTAAGAGTTCCATCAATAAAGAACGGTCCGATAATGTCATTACCTAGAATTCCTGCCCACACATTCAGTTTCTGTGGATACTGCGTGCGGACGGGAATACTGAGGTGTTTATTTTCCCGAGACCAATACCGAACGACTGTGATGACCGTGGAGAGGGAATGTGGATTCATCAGTAAACAAAATGTTACCAATAAAACTTCCAACCCTGTTCGCCTTCTCCATGACCGTTTCACAAAACTCCATTCGACGGTATTTGTCTAAAGGAAATATTTCTTGAACCGTTCCAACCTTGAAGCTATGATAGCCGTTGCGATGCAAAATATTTCTTGTTGTTCTGGGTGTGGGATCGGCTATTGGTACTATTTCAGCAATTTTTCTGCTTGAGCATGGCTCAAATACAGCGGCACAAACAGCGGTTTCGATCTCCTCCCTTTTCTCGCTATTTTTTGGTTTCCAACCTTCAGGGTGCATGCAGCTATGGCACTTATGTAAGCAGCCCACCCTCTTGAATTTTTCGTAGGTATTTATAACCGTTGCGTGAGACGGAATTGGCCGATCTGGGAAGCGTACCGCAAATAATTCAACAACCGCGCGTGCTGAATTATTCTGGATGTACCATTCTATCATTTGAAACTTTTCTTCTTGCGAGTACATTTTTAAGATATTTTGGATTAAATAAAGACGCACCTTTCCTACACAAAACCCAACCGCAGAGTGAGTCATGAATCCCTTATCGCACTTGACGACGGCACGCGCGTAAACGGTAGGAAATATGTACAAATAGCGATGAAAGTAGACGAGCCGATGCGCTGTTGCGAGACGCAGCCGTTGCTTTCACCGTTTATATTTTTATTGTAAAGAGATGAGAAAGTAGAAAAAACAATTGCCATGAAAACTGACAGAGAAGTCACGCTAGGGTAGAGACTAAAAGGTACATGACCTCGAAAAAAATTAGGCTATATTAATTATTATTCTAGGTAATTTATGGCTTTTGTATTCAAGTATCCTTGTTTTTTACATAGCTGCAGTAATGCACCAATTAAATTCACAAAGATATACTTACTAGAGTAAATTCTGGATGAACCACTGGAAAAAGGGTATGTGCGAATACTGAGTGAACAACTGACGCCTTCCTGGTCTCAATAGATCAAATTGCGCAATTGTCTTACACTATAGCCTTAGTGACTTGTTAGTCGGTCTCCTAAGCTCAAATCATTCCAATAGAACGCCATCTATTTATTATAATGGTTATTGTTCATCAAATTATACGCGTACCGCAAGGATCGAACCTAGTCCATTTGCTATTTTTATACTTCATAAAAAACCTTGCTTCACTAAAGTGACACAATCCACTATTTGCATGATCTGAAAATTACGCAAAAATTACAAATTTAGAGAACTGTATTTCCCTTCAGGGGGATCTAGTGGAGTGACAATAATTTTCTCTTCCTAAACATTTCCAAGTGTAGGGTTTGTTCATATAGTCGCAAAATGAACTGGATTATTTTTATTATTCCATAAATAATGCGATTTTGTAGAGAACAACAGAGACTGAAGATATTTGTGTAATATTTTCCTGCAGGTTGGACTTTTCTGCACGCATTACTTCCGAAGCGACACGGTTTGTAAGATTTATAATGCGTAACTGTTTCCAATTAAGCAGCAATAAAAACTCTTGTTATTTCGCTGGTGCGTCTAAACTTGAGTACGCCTCTTTGATATGGAACTCTTTATATGCATATTATATGAAAATCTACAAAGAAAATGTCTTAAATATTGGAAAATTGATGGCTTATATCCACAAAGGGAGACCAGTCAAAAAGCTTTTGCATGACAAAGTGGATACACTAGCACTTCTCCAGAAGTTGAATTTTTGTAAACCGCGATAAATTCGAGAAAGAAACTCTCTACTCCAGCACCTCCCGTACCAAGGTATCAATGTATGCACCGCTGAATTCTAAATGCAATAATTACAATTCCTAACAGACAGTTCCAGTATTGATTTCGATTGTGTCAGTAACTTTTTATCAAACTTCGGAGGTTTTTAAGGTCGCACGACCCGTTTTTGTTTTCGTTTTCAACTACTTATTTGCAGCAGTATTCTAAATCCTTTTCATCTGATTATTTCAAAAAATGCACTTTTTGTGTTTCTTGTCTTCTTCAATCGTAACTTGGTAACAAATATTAGTACGGCTCTGAAATTGTATGTGAATATTCCACATATGGAAGAATGACTTTTATTCTTATCACATTTTCTCTTCGAAAAATCTATGATTTTCTTGAAACCTCATTTTACAGGAAACTGGGTTTTCAAGAAAAGTAAAACGGGAAAGTGATAAGAATAAAAGTAATCAACCGTTTCATTCTCCCATGTGTGGAATATTCAAATATAATTTCAGAACAGAACAAAATGCATAAAAATTCATTTTTTTGTATAAATAAATAACTATATGCGCCAGGTTTTTTAGGTGACACAACTTTCAGAAACCGTTAAAAGTGTTCATTTTCTGCGTTTATACAAATTGTTAGTAACAATAGAAAGAGTATTCATATACATATTGGTATACTAGTTACATATAAATAGATATTTGTTGATATTTCTAGTGAAAGTAGTGAATAGAGCACGCCGGAGGAGTTACACATGTTGTTAATTTTCAAGCATATTGTGCCCATAAAGTTTACCTGATTTCATCATATGTTGCAAGTAAAGGATATTTTACACTATTTGAATGGCTTTTTTCTACAATTGATCGATTTGCTCGAGATTTATATATTGGCCCATATACCTTTATATTTCAACCAATAAACTATCAGCTAACCAAATAAGTTCGTGCGGTTGCTGTATATCGCACATTGCCATGGATGTTGTTGATCGATAGGATCTTCGAATGGTTGTGGACGCAAATTCCAGGACAACGTGCCAAGAACTTGCAGAAATGTTCAGAGTGAGTCCTGAAACTATTAGTATGCATCTTCATCAGATAGGAAAGACGTAGACGTTAAGCAAATGGGTCCCACATGAACTGACAAATGATAACACATTAAGTTGTCTTACCATTTGCTCAGCAAACATTTTACTAATGCACCATTTCTTAATCGGTTATTAACCTGCGAAGAAAAATGTATCTTGTATTCGAATTGTAAGCGTTCGTATCATTGGTTGTCGCCTACTGATTCGGTACCACACACGCCCAAGGCTTCCTTGCACCCAAACAAGGTTTTGTTGTGTGTTTGGTGGACAGCAACTGGAATTGTCCATTATTAGTTTTTGGAAAGGGGTCAAACTCTCACTGCTAACTTGTATTGTGAGCAGCTTCAATGAGTACAAGCAGCACTCATCCAGAAATAGCCTTCGTTGATCAATCGGAAGAAAGTGATATTCTTGCAGGATAACGCCAAGCCTCATACCGAAAAAGTGACCCGAGAAAAATTTCTGAACTCGGCTGGGAAACATTACCGCACCCGCCATATTCTCCTGACATTTCACCCAGTGATTATCACCTTTTTTTGTCTCTTGACAACTGTATGAGGCACCGACAGGTCGCAACTCGAGATGGTGTAATAAATGCAGTCCGCCAATTTTTTGACTCCAAATCCAGGGAGTGCCACAATACCGGCATACAAAAATTGGTTCCACGTTGGCAAAAGGTCATTGAATGTGATGGTAATTACTTCGACGAATAAATATAGTGTCTTATTGTTTCTCAATGAAAATTTATATTTTTCTACTAAAAACCGCACGAACTTACTTGGTTACCTGATATTATGATTTATTTCCCCCTTCCTTAAATTCTGTTTAACTATTTTGTTATCCAGGTGGCAGTACCTGCCAAAGAACCAAAAAGAGAAGCTAGACAACGCGACGAAAAGCGCTCCCAGCGAACCGACGGCACCTCCAGGCAAATGGTACTACATCAGCGACTCATTCGTGAACGAAATAGCAGAATCGCAGGTGTTGGGCGTACAAGCTTATTTATTATTTTACGAGAGGATCCTGTAGTTATTTCTATTTAGGTTTATTTAATAAATGTAACGAGGATGTAGGTTTATTTTATCAAATCGAACGTTTCTTCAAATAAGTGAATTATTATAAGGCGATGGACAAATTCCTGGAACATTCTTATACAATTACGGGTATTTATTAGTCGGTCAGCGAAAAAATGTAGGAATGGAAATGGCGATTGTACCGGTTTGAGAAACTGTCGGCGCTGTTACTTTTTTCTCTTAAATTGATGATTTGTTTTTGTGGGATATTTAATGTCGCATGTCCCTTTTTTCAACAGCCTGTCTGGAGGAGTATTCTTAATATTTTCGTCTGATTGGTTCATTGTGTGTATAGAGATGAATGAAAAACAATATTATCGGTTTCTTTTTTGTCAAAAAATGCATTTTTGTGCATTTTTTCTTCAACTGTAACTTGTTAACAAATAATAGTACAGCTCTAAAATTGTATGTGAATATTCCACTTTTATGGAGGAAATGAACCGGTGATTACTTTTTTGTTATCACAATCTCTCTTCAAAAAATCTTTGCTTGAAAACTCAATCTGCTGTAAAATGAGGTTTCAAGAAAATCAAAGATTTTTCGAAGAAAAAAGAATTGATTTGAATAAAAGTAATCACTTGCTCAATTCTACTACAAAAGTGGAAAAGCTATATTTGTTAACAAGCTACGATCGAAGAAAAAATGAATTTTTGACAAAAAAAAAATTGATAATATTGTTTTTTAGTCATGTCTATACATACCATGAAACATTCAGATGAAAAGGATTTGGAATACTACTCCATACAGGCAGATAAACAAAAAAAAAACGACATGCGACCTTAACGGACAGCCCTAACCATTCAGGTACTTTTTAAAATTTGGTGGCGGTTATACATTTTTAGAAAATGGTGAGTATTTTTTATAAACTTCTGCATTGCACAAAGGATTTAAATTTTAACTTTTATTTCATATTTTTTGTTGCGCAGTTTTTTGTGATTTGGAATTTTAAAGGTATTTTCATAACTTTTAATATTTACCGAGAAAAATATATCGCTATTGAACAAATTAGAAAATTATGCGATAATAATTGTACATTTGGCGTAGATAATGCGGTTGTGCTTTAGTATTTTCAATGAATATATTCCAAACTTACAGCTCAAGAAGAAAGGGTGTCCATTTAAGAAAAAAAAAATACAAACTTAATGAAAAGAAAAAAGTATTACTGTCAACATATTCTTAAACTCGGCGGGTTTTATTTCTTAAATATCATTCCGTCCAAATGTTTGCCATCACTCTTCTAATCGCGGGCGCAAATTCTGAAACACTTGCAGAGTTTATTTCTCGTCGAATGTTGTCTTTAAGCTCCTCCAGTGTTCATGGATTATTGGAATACACTTTCACAATAAATAATCACATGGCGTGAGGTCGGGTGACCTAGGAGGCCAGTGAATGTTTCGAAACTTTTATATAACTGTTTGAGAAAAAAGTACTTTCACTGTGTCCATCGATTCTCTGAAAGTATGGCAGTGGCCGGATCCTTTTGAAACCATGTTTTTCTGTTGAATTGACGTTTCAACATCCGTTCAGCACAATATTTCCTTAATACGTTATCACTTTCCTTTAAAGCACGGACTGATTGGATTTTATATGGATGATGCCATGCATTGTTGACCTAGGGATTCCCGAAGCAGCGGGATGCTTCCGAACAGAACGGCGAGGATTTCCAATGACCGAATCACTCACCCGACGCACATTTTATTCGGTTGATACAGTAGGTGTGGGGCCAGGAATAGGTTGACTAAGAGTAGAGCCTGTTTCACGGAACCTCTTGATCCACTTTTTCAATATGTTCTTACTTGGGGCATCTCTTGGTCGGCGAATGTTGTATCGTATACAAAATTTAAGAAGGGTAGCTGCGTATGAATCACCACTCAAGTAAGTCTCGATAGCAAAAGCACGTTGCGCCCTAGTCCAGCGTTCCATTGCGACTATTTAACCCGCACGCCGAACGCGTCGATTAAGACCTCTTCCCACTTCCTCGCGTTTAGGTTGCCGCGTAATTAAAGTTTGGAATCTTAACTTTCCACTGTGATACCATCATTATTTTCCGCCCGCATTTCTTTGCCTTTCATTCTCTCGCTGGCCAGATCTGTGGCAATTTTTTTTTACAAATGGGTGATCCACAAGCATACGGAAAATATATCTAGATACCTTTGGTGCTTTGGATAATTTTTGGATAGCTTCCTTGATTCGAAGATACACGGCAAAATAAATGTTGAAGCGATTGGTTCAATATCTTTAAGTTTTTTTTGCTAAAAAATCCTCGTTTCTGGCTCAAATGGATCTAAAATTTTCCAGGAATTTGTCCGTATCTAAAAAAGACTTTTGCAAAACTGCCCAATAGAAATTAAATCTTATAAGGTTCTTAACTTTCTCTTTGTACTTCAGTAAACTTTGTATCATGAAACTTATCATAGTAGGAACCAAAATAATATTACATTACAGTTATTGTGAAACAGTTGCAGTTCTTATAACATAGATTTTTTCAAAATTCGTTTCTCCATTTTTCATGTTTAAAAGGAATTATTTTTAAAGTGAAACAGAAATCAAGCACTATTATTTACAAAATCTTGGTGATATCATATTCAGTTCTGTATTTCCAAAAGTAGCTTACCATGTTTTAACACATACATTACAAAAGCTTCATAGTCAAATATTTATTGCCAAAGGTTTAATCACCAGACATTCAAATGCTACAGTTTGAAAACAATTATATTTACTTGTATCCTTTATTCTGGAGTTCTCGATGATCTTACCTAAAACTTCAAAGTAATAGGAGACGATACACTTAATTCTGATACTGAACCCTTTTATTAAAAAACAGTTGTCAAGATAATAGACTTTTATAGAGTTTATCTCGGTGATTGATATGTTGAAAAGATCCAATCTGATTTTTGTACAGTGCTATCCAAGATTTATAGAATCACGAACGAGAATTTTTTTATAGGTAATAATCCTAAGATTCTATGTTAAACATCCAATTTTGACATATTATATATTTCCATCAATTTAAGGTAAAATCGTGTATATTTATTTACAGCTGTATAATTTTCTTCAAGCAATTATGTCCTCAAATGTGATTTAAATGAATTAAAAATAAATTGAAAACATAGTTTTATTTCTCATATAAAGAATATTGTATAAACCTTTGGAGTATAGTTACATAACAAAATAACATATTTTTACTTAATTTGCATTGTAGTTACTCGATACATAAACATTATTTCATAGACATTTTTTGCACTTCAAACTAAAACTCTTATTCTCCTCTAATCATCCGTTATTGTGCCTGTTTCTTAAAGCACTTCATGAACTGTTGGGAGTGACACATAGAATAACAAGTCTCAAAAAAATAAGCCAGATTTCAGGAGTAATATTAACACCTGGTGTAATAAAACATATCTAGCCTTATTTTTTTAATGAAGCTCTCTTCATTGAACAAAAAAGTTTTTATTTATTGATATATTTATGTAAAATAGGTTAAAATAAAGCGAAAAAACATTAAAAACCTAAATTCATATTTTTGACAAATACCCCACTTTGCTCCACAATGTTTTTTTCATGTGACAAACCAAATAAACTCGATCAAAAGTTTCTTCTTTGAGAAAAACCTAGACAATAATTATACACGTTTCATCAGGGCATTTCAACGTCACTCAAACATCCAAGGGGTGAATCTTTGGATCATTCTAAAACCCCCTAAACGATAATATTTCATTTATTTCGCACTCCGCGTCAGGAAAACTTAATATAATTTAACTCAGAAACCATTACTGACAGCGAAGACAGAGTTGTCCATTAAAAAAGACTGATTTTCAAGTGCATCCTTTAAGAAAACGACAAAACAGTCTTAGAATAATCAACCCTTACATTTTTGGCCCTTATTTTGGAAACACGCTGTATTTAATTTTTTGATTCGAAAAGACTCATCACGAAGGAATCATGCCCCTAGACCTTTTCCAGCTAGCCCCACTTTTCCTGTTGTGGTTTGCCTTGGACGACTTCTGGGTCTCCTTCTTATCTCTAGCCTTCTGCACATTTTTATCCTGTCCATGTCCTTTCGGTTTGCCCACAACGTTAGCCTTCTGTTGAGGATTTTTTGGGGGATGTTTTGATCTGTACCTCTGTTCGCGCCTCTCTCGAATCACGGCTGGGTCTTCGCAGAAATTCAACTTGGAACTGAAAAAAAAGACTGTTATACTCTAACAGTTGAGGTGATATTGAATTCTGTTATAGGAATGTAGATAATAAAGTATTTAACCTGTTATCTTTAGGAGCAGCTTTATTATCGACATGCTTCCCTTGATCATCATACTCTTCATCAGACGAATAGCTGGTGTCACTTGCCAATTCCCCCCTATTAGGATTGAACGTAGGAAGGGAGGGCTCTCCTTCATCGATGGGATTATCAGCTACCTTCATAGGAACATGATCAAAATCTCTGTCGTCGTATTCATCGTCGTAAATGTAATCATTGCTGTATTGGCTGAAATCAGAAAATCATGAATTGATAAAAAGTAGCATTAAGGAAGCTATACTAAACTCTACAGTAGAGTTGAAAATTGGAAGTCATAAAGAAACAATATATCTTGAACAGGGATAGAATAAAATTATGTTTTTCAGCTTTGAGCAATTAAAGTTTCAAAATTGTATTTTTTCATAATTTCGATCACACGTAGAACCATTTATTTAACGTCTACTAGAAGATAGCTAACCTAATCCCACTTCCAAAAATTTATCCGAAATAAAATGAGATTATCAAAGGTATATTAATTACATTTTTGAGTTAACAACCGATGGAGAAATTATTGGTTCGCAGGCGATACGGCAATTATTTATTTAAAGTTTGGGCTTCTTTTAAAAATAAAACTGATTTGGAATTTCACACATAAAAAAATTTTCACAGGCAAATGTTAATCAACTCCAAATTAAAACGATGAATAGCTCCAAATTCAGAATCAGTTGATATGATTTCAAATATTTATTGGTATTTTTAGATATCTAAGATGGAATATACATTTTGAAAATTTAATAAGAAAATTAAGATAGGTTAGGTTAGGTTTCTTGTCAGTGCATCAATAACGATCCTCCATTGCGACTCTTTGGTCTATTGCGGATCACACCTATTTATATTTCCCCCAGTAGTTCCGACCTCCTGAGGAAGTCGATCAACTTGTTTGGAGAAATCTCCTTCAGGTCTTCTGCTTGGAGTACTACGTCTCCAAGTATGTTGTACCTGATTCTGGCAATTGCAGGGCATCTGCACAATACATGCCTGACCGTTTCATCTCCCTCCATGCACGTGCACTCAGCGTCCTTCGCCATACCCAGCCTGCTCATGTGGTGACGCAATTTGCAATGACCAGTGTACAGTGGTAACAATGTGACATCATTATGTTGAAAGAAGTCTATTGTGACTCTTGCAACATGTGGTCGGGCATTATCTTGTTGGAAAGTTGGACCTGCCAGGGTGTCAAGATAGGGTAAAAGATGGGGTCCTAGAACTTCGTGGATATAACGCTGCGCGTTCATGTTATCTCTGATGAAGATTAAAGGTGACCTGGAAGCATAAGCTATAGCACCCCAAACCATAACTCCAACAGTGTGATGAACATGTCTTTCAACAAAAAACTGTGGATTCCTCCTTTCACCATGTGGCCTTCTAATCCTGGCACGACCATCGTGCATGCCTAAACAAAATCGAGACTCGTCACTAAAGACAATACTGTTCCATTCCTGATCCCAGAGTGACCGTTGTCTGCACCACTCAAGGCGATTACGTCGGTGTTCTCGAGTTAAAGGGAGGACCCAGTGTGGCCGGTATGAAAACAAGCCAAAACTTCTCATTCGTCGGTAAACACTTCGCATGCCAATAGGTCTTCCTTGTTCTGCAAACCATTCATTTGCAATGGAGCTGGTAGTGGAGAAACGGTCCCTTAAGGCCAATAATCTTAGGCGGCGATCTTCACGGTCTGTTGTTCTACGGCGGCGTCCAGTGCCCCTTGCTCTTTGCGTACGGCCTTCTCGAAGCCATGCCTGACAACACCTAACCAGAGTGTCTACACTTCTTTGCACTCTTAACTGCAATTGCACGAAAAGAAAGTCCAGCTTCCCGAAGTCCCACTATACGGCCCCTATCAAACTCTCTAAGTTGACGAAATCGTACAGGTCTCCGTACTCTAGGCATCGTAACCGATCGTAAAGGATGTCAAGAACCAAAATCCGCCAACGTTGATTCTTTACTGCGGCTGAAATATTCATTTTTAGAGCGTTAGTGAATTAAAAAAAAGCAATATAAAAACCGGAATGTCCAACTGATAAGGCTGAAAATTTTTTCACTTGTTATTTACAGTAAGATAAATACATTCACCAACTTTTATTAAAATAAAACCATTTAAACTGGGTGTTCGGATTTATATGTCACTTAGTATATACGTATATAACTTTGGGATGGTTAGTGTCTTATATAGATGGTGCTGCCTATATTCATCTATGAGACACTACCTTTTCAAAGTATATATAGTAAATAGAGCTGTAACAAATTGTCATAGATGACAGCTGCGGTATCTCATTTTATCTCGGACAATTTTTTGGGTGCAGGAATATAGTATTAGGGTGGCTATCTACAGGTAGAATTCTTTATTCAATGCTGGAACACACCGTATTTTTTAAAAAATGAGGGCAATGATCTTGTAATATCTTGAAAAACCTTCAAAATGGCAGTTAAAACTAGTTAATAGTTGCTGAGAAATCTGCCGAATACGGTTGAAATTCATTTATTATTTAGGTAAGCAATAAAAACTGCAAAAAATGATGAACAAAGGTCCCGCACAAAATGAAAAATGAGTATCATACTAAATTTGTAAACAAATGAACTGAGACCCATTTTCCATATGTTTTCTGCAAGGTACTTTAGTTATATCCTGGAGGAGGTAGTTTGAGCTTTAAAATGGTTGAACATTTCGGACTAATCGTGCAAGAGTTTTCGCAAATATGAAATTGTTTATCATTTTTTCACGATGTAATAATGACGCTACAAAAATGGATATTCGTGCACTATTGCGCGGCGTCTGTTTTGCTCTGAGTTTCGTTTACATGATCTAAATCAATGTCCTAGTGAAAGTCTGATCTGGTCTTGGTCAGAAAGTTCGAGTCTACCGGTTCGATACTAAATCAGAAACCTGCGGGGCGTCTAAGGTCAATACGAACAGAGGAAACTGTAAGCGAAGTTGCGACGTCCATACGGCGCGATTCACAGTTATCATCCCGAGAGATCAGCTGAGCTCGCCCTATCAAGAACATCTATAAGGCGAATGTTGGTAAAAGATCTTGAATTGCATCCATACAATGAGTGAATTTGTCAACAAGCAAAATTACCGGTATTGGGCCGCAGAAAATGCCAAATACAAACACCAAAGATCTTTGCATTCGCTTTATGTTGAAGTTTGGGCAGCCACATCGGCTGCAGGAATCATCGGACCCTGTTTCTTCGAAAACGAGCAATGCCAGACTGTAACAGTAAATTTTAGCAATGCTACGAAGCTTTTTCTTTCCACAACTGCTTAATTTTGAAGCCTACCATAGCAAAACCTGGTTTCAACAAGATGGCGCGATATCGCATACCGCCAACGAGTATTTACCAGTTGTAAACAAAATGTTTAGTGGGAAACTGATATCGCGACGAGGGGATTTTCCGTGGCCTCCCCGGAGCCCAGATCTCACACCACTTTTTTTTTCTGGGGATACCTCAAGAACCGTGTTTACGCCAATAAACCGACGACGACTGCCTAGCTCAAGCACAACATTTCCGAGGAGATGTCCAATATCCCACGAGCGATGTGCCAGCGAGTTTTCACGAATTTGAAGTCGAGATTCGAGGAGTGCGTACGTCTCAATGGCTCACACCTCAATGATGTTCTTTTAAAAAAATTAAATTCTCATGTGTATACTTTATTTAAACATATAGATTATCTTCACTATGCTTTGTAGTTTTTTCTACGATTTTTTAAAATCCGCTCAACTCAATGGAACAAAAAATTGATTACATTGTCATATCAACTAGACTGCTAGCGCAGGTTGAACCTCAACCTGAGGGACCCTTATCAGATCTAATAGACAGTCTAAAGTCTCAAATGAATTTGTCAACTTACATTCCATCCAAGACCCATATCTTAATCCTCTCCATGTCCTTCTTGTCATTGAGCAATTTGAGAGCATCATCGTACTCGGGTTTCTTTCCCGTGTGAGCCATCATTGGTTTGTTAGCTACGGGATCAGGAGGAATTCGAATCTTGTCGAATGGAATATCGTAAAGTTGCACCTGCAAGCTTTGTTCCAGGATCGCATTCGTCACTTCAGCCACGTTATAGTCATAGGCTTCCAGACAAGCTAAAACGAACCCTGGAAGATCAAGAAAAAAATTGAAGAGCAGCAATACAGTTGGTCCAAATGGAAGTTAGAATGAAGCCATTGATGCACTGATTAAATAAAATGTAAATTTACCATCTCCAAGATGCGGGAACATCTCCATAATTTCTTTGATCATGCTTTCAACATCTTGCTCCTTCTTCTTTTCACTGATTACAGATTGTTTAGCACCTACTACTTGTGGGCTTACTTCCTCTTTTACAATCTCAGGAGGTTTGAATTTCTTGAAAACATCCTCTATGGTGTCTGGCTTCAGAGAAGAAATCTTCTGCAATGTTTTGTACCTTCGATATTTCAGTAGGCAATCGAGAATAAATTGCGTCCTCGTTCGATCTCTGCGAGAAAACATTCAGGAAAATATGACTATTATGCAGTTTTAAAAATACTGGGAATTAGACACCGAGGTAATACCATCCTGGGGATCAATTCATTATTTATTGGTCACATTATATAAATGATACGTATTACTAGTCACTGGATGCGAAAACCATAGAGTAAAAGGTGGTCAAACATGTATAATAAAAATGGCATCAAGTAGGTTGACCTTGCACTTCCTATGCACACTGCCATCAATTCATAAAGGATTATATTCGGCATAAACTAGTCCCTCTTAGAAAAAAGTTTCCTACAAATATATATGACAAAGGAATTAAATAGATGATGTCAGTCAAACGGGCTCAAAAACAGACACAGATTTGACAACATTGCTATCTATCCTACCGCTCTACCGACCAGCCATCAACGAGGCAACCCAGCACGGTGTTACGTACACTGCATTCGGGGTAGACAGACGTACGCCCGTTGATTTGTCCGGCACGCATATACATACATATATTGAAAGTAATAAATAAAAATTCAAGTTTTAAGGGCAAATGTGAGGTATGATGTATGAAATATGTCTAATAAGTGCGTAGAATTACCGGGGTAGGAAACTCCCCTTCATCCCTTACAGCCCCAAACATCCAATTTTTGATCCCTACAAAAATGATCGGTCATCTAGAATGTAAAAAAGAAGTTTGAGCAATCTTTATTTTTTCTCCGCCGCCACTATGCCTTGTGTGAACGTTTCATCAAAATTTGAGAAGTACTGGGCGAACCAGACGGCCGGATTAGCGGTCAGATAGGCAGACCAACAGACACACCAAAGGGAATGAGTGGCATCTTTTTTTCGATATTTAATCATAATAATACAACATTCATTTCATTGTTAAATAGCCACATACTATAACAAATCAAAACCCAAAAAGGAAAGATAGCAAAACATATACGTACAGCCGAAACAAAACAATAAATTGATAAAATTCTATAAATTGGTTTCCCATTTCCTGCTCGTCTATAAAGAGATCAAAGTTTTTGATTAAACCTTATAGTAATGGTATATAAAAAGCCTTTAAAGTATATGTCTCAGGTAGAGTTTGCATCTCAAAAATCTTTGAGAATTTTAATTAATTCCGCTCATTTCCTGCTGTGTGTCGTCCACCAGTCTCATTTCTAAATACGAAGTTGACTTTGTGATGAAACATTTGATGATATAAAAAATCTAAGAACATATTATTTTGCAAAAAATGGGGTTCATTCTCCATATAGTATCCCATTCCCACTGGGAGTTAATTCTTGAAAGGATACACAGATGTACAACTCTCAAACATCTCATTTTGACTCGCGATATTATACTCAACATCATAATCACAAATAAAATGCTCATCATCTAATGCTGTGTTCATCAATTTCAAATACATCTCGACAATTTGATTCTGCATCCTGTCATCATTCCTAGACAGAAAAAAAACCTTGTGTTAGCCCTGTGAAATGAATAGTTGAAACATTGAATAACATATTTTCCAATAAGATGCCCAATCATTTTCTGTATTTTCTATTGTCACAGCCATGTCGCCAAGGTTCGCAGTAATTCCCTCTGAAAAGACTCTTGATTTTTGTTAATCTTTGCATGTCAACAAAATTCCAAGGAAACATCAACACTCGATAACCCTCACATTTATTCCCAGATTTCCGAGAGGTGGTAATGCTGGCACCTAAAGACGGTAGTTTTCACATATACAGTTGGTCTTCTTGGAGAATACATCCATCAATAATATAATAGTATACTGTATTACTTACATGTATTCAAGAGCTTTATCTAAGCAGTGTGTTACGAAAAAGTGGTATGTATCAACAAACTGTGCTCTTCCAAGGTTTATTTCATCAAATATCATGCCACTCAGCTCTGGGTGTATCAGTACTTCATCTCTATCATCTAACATCTCATACAGTTCACGATATATGCTTACATAGGTACTTGGTAACCTTCAAAAAAATGCTGTTTTGGCCATATAATGTAATTTAACAAATAATGGGTACTTTTAAAATGAACTGTAAATCAACTTTCTTTAATGGGTTATCTTTATTATTGAAATGAAGCATTCTTGACGATAAGTTCTGAAGATTACACCGACTAATAAATGGACAAAAAATCGATACGGAATATTTCTGATGCGGTGATTTCAAAAACATCTTTCATTTTTCGGTAGCTGGTTTTCGCGATATATGAAATTTAATATTTGAAAAAATGCAAAATATGCCATTTTCGACCCGGAAAAATAATATGAAATTGAATGAATTTCAAACATTCATAAGCAGAATCCCAAAGCATTTTAGGAGATTATACTATTGTTAGCCTTTGTTTTTTAATTGCTTATATTTGACTGTTTTTTAAATTTATCCAACTAGATTTTTTTCCTCTTTCCTCCTTGCTTATTTAGTTTGTTTAAGATTTATTTAGCATTAATGCTACAATATCCATAATATCTATGTTACACAGTATATCACATAATGTATTATGTCTTCAAGACCACATATTTTTATACAAAATTTCACTACTATGAATTCTGGTTTACCATGAGATATTTTTCAGTTTTTCAAACTGACACACATATTGATATCATTAATTAATTTATTAAATTTCTACAATCCCTTTTGAAATACTGACTTGCTCGTTATATTGCTACTACAATTTTGTAAATGAAAGTTTATACTCCCTCTAGAAGAATAACTGTGGTACTCATTGTTCAATACAACAAAATTTTCTAAGTGATTTGGCAGATGATGATTTTTTAACTTGAATATAAAAATGAAAACCAAGTAGGTTATGAAATTTTTGATATTTAACCATTGTAGTTCTTTCAGCATAAAATTTATTCTAGTATATTTATTTTTATTTAAGATGATTCTCATAGCTTTATTTTGTAATATTTGTAATTTTGAAAATACAGTTGCGTTTGCAGTGAACAAAATAGTCGAACAATATAACAAATGAGGAAGAATGATAGTGCTGTACACAATTTTTTTAGAATAAACTCTTAGGCTATGCGAAATTCTATAAAAGTAATTTATCTTCTTGGATATTTTTGCAATAATATATTCATAGTGCCCTTCAAATTTTAATTTACTATCTACATATATTTATTATATTATGCTTTTGAAAAAAGTACCTTAGTGACTTGCAAGATAAAAGAATTCAATAAATATATATGTTTAAAAGTAGAAAATCAAAACTAAATTTTAAAATATATTACATTAATTGGAAAAACTCACCTAAAAGGAAGATCTTTCTCCAAACACATCTCAATAGAGGGCTTATAGAATTCCAGCATCACATTTAGAAAATACATTGTGTTCAGCAGATAATTCACCACAGAATATACCCATTCTAAGTTGAATACTGCAGGCCTTGGTTTTAGACTTATAGGAACTATCAAAGCATCTTTTTGGAATCCACATAAGTGGCCATTTATTGTATCCAGAGCCTTGGAAAAATACAAAAAATTAAGACTCATATAAATTGATTTTTTTGCTTCATTTTGTTAAGTGCCCAGTAGATTCACAAGGATACTAGAGTTGGAATACTACTACTCTATGGTATGACCAAAAAACGATTTTTTTTGAAAAACTGCTTCACTGGCGGCAGAGTAAAGTTTGTATTTTGACTTGATTGGTTCAAAGCTCCTGAACATTTTTTGGAAATTTCTTAACAATTGTAAGACAAAAGTAAAAGATGTGAATATTCATAAATTCCTTATTTATAAATTGAATAGAATGCACCAATTAATAAAAATGTTTCATGATGATAAAAAATAATAAAAACAAGTGAATCCCCATTCTATTAAATAGATGATACTTACAATCAATGTCTGGTTAATAGTTTGTTCTACTTCCTTAAATTGAAAGTCCAGTTGTGATGTATCATCAAAATATAATAACATCACCTTATTTACAAAGTCAAGGTTTATTTTTTTATATAAAGCACCTAACGTAGTAACAATTGGTAGATTTATCAGTTTCAGCTCCAACAATTTTTTTAACCCAAAATCTGGAGTCATGAATTCTGTCTGAAATAGAATTAAATGTAAAATGACATAATATCTGAAATATATCCTGTGGTTGTCTGGCTGATGTTAGACTGGTCACCAAATGAAACTACAGATGTAGAAGTGAAAGATTTACTGACAATTGTCATTTTATACTCTGTAAAAGGCCATCAAGGTGGCTGAAACATTGGTAAATCGTACAATTATACACACGATACACATACACTGAAGATAATAGGATATTGCGCATGCGGGCGGAGCTTCGTGACGTCACCTGGAGAGTTACGTGTATCGTGGTTAATACTATATAGTGCGATTTGTTGGTGTTTTCTGGTGGTTTTGTGTCTTGTTGTATTAGTTATACATACCTTATATACCCTGTGTGGTTGATAAATTCATAAAAATGTGGTGTGCTGTTGTGGGATGTAATTCCGACAATCAATCTAAACTGAATCTTTGCAAAGACAGTTTTTTTCCACAGTTTTCCTCAAGACCCAAACTTTAGCAAAACACTGGCCACATCTCACAAAAATATAAGACAAAGTCAATATAAAAAGCGCTAGGGTTTGCTAGAAAATGCTCTAGAGGATCTGAAACGATGCTTCAGCGTCCAATACGTGTTAACAAGACGTCTTAATCAAGATGTGATAGAAAAGTTTTTCGGAGTAATTAGGGCAAAAGATGGTCATGACCATACAAGTCCTCTAGAGTTTAGGTATAGAATAAGGTCATATATGTTGGGGCGAAACGAAGGCGCATACTCAGAGTACCTAGTGCAGCGTAGAGTCAGAGGATACTCCAGACATTCCACTAACCGCATCATTAACGAGAATAAACTGAATGCACCTGAAGTATCAGCTGATTATACCGAGCAAGTTTTAGTGGAAGAAATAGATGAGCTCGACTATGACGGGCTGGAAAATTTGGCCGGCTTTGTTTGCAATAAATTGCAGGATGAGAGGTTGAAAAGTTCCTCAAATGAAACTTATTCATGGATAGACCATGAGGGTGGATTATCAAAACCTTCCGCAACTTTCATGAATCAAATTGAGAAGCTGAACAAGGTATTCACTACATTCAATGGGGGCGGAATAGTGACAAAAAAGCAAAATTTTATAGGCGAACTTCTGTTGCAGAGCAGCAACATTGACTGCCCTGAAAAAGCTAAACAACTGTTTTTCAGGTCAAGGATGTTCTTCCCGATCAAAGAACTGAATAAATGTTTGAAAGACCAGAAAAATCGTAAAAGGAAATGGAAAAAAATTGTTGCGCAGACTAAGTCATTTCCATTTATTGTTATACCACCACCTTGGTGCAAAAAGAAGATAACTCCATTTTTCTACTTTTTTAGTTGCCGTTTGATCTGCAGCCTATGAAGTAGGAATTACAAGGTTGAAATCTTTTATTAAAATCCATCATTTTGTTTTTTTTATAAAATTTCAATGTAGCTGGTGTCCAGTGGCGACGCGTGACTTTTCCTAAACTGTTACCAAAACCAGATATGAAAAATCTTAATGAAAAGTTTATTTTGAACATCCCAAATATATTTTTTTGCTTTTTTTTAGGTATTTTATTTAAACTATTTTTAAATTAAGGTAAACATTTCTGGACTGAGCGTCTGGGGCACTTGATATATCTCAAAGCCTTATGCTATGACTAATCCAAGCCGTCCGAAAAAACAGTCGACCTTTCTAGATGTTCGGAAAATTTTTGATCTTTTCTGGTAATGAATGTTCACACAACAATTCCGTGTAATTTCCTCTATTGTCAGAGTCATCCCCTTCAAAATGAACGGTAATTCCTGTTTTGCCAAAAACATACGGTATCTAGAAGTGTGCTGCCTAAAACCTTGGTTAAGACAACTTTCGATTATTGTTTTGCCAAACTGAATTAAACTGGCTACACATCTCACATGTAACGGAGAAATTTCATGTCTCCTCTTTAGAGCCCAGAATTAATTTAAGTCGTTGACTCCGCTGCTGGTCCACCCATTTTTTTCTGAATAAAACAGAAGACATCGCCAACAATACAATTTGTTTTTTTGCAACTACATAACCAAGAGTTTCCATATACCAACTTAATTTAAAATATCAAACTACGTTTTTTTATTCCTTTTAAAATTATCTAAAATAGGTGTTAGTCTTCCATTTTCACTGATCTCCTTTTTTCTTAAAAATTATACAAGGAGAATCACTTTTCAAGTAGTTGATCCATTATGCAGCGACACTCATCCATGTTTAATTGCACGCACACCACAGCCATCAACCAAAACGGCTACTAATGAGTGAGAAGTGAGTAACCAAATCAAAAAATGGTAACAAGCCCACATAATAGTCGCAGCGCCCCACGCACTCGGGCGACCGCGATAAGACACGAGCCGGTACCCACGGTCCCCGACGGACTACCAAGTGTATCCATAAATGAAAATGGTAACAACGGAAAACCAAGTCGAGGCGAGTCATCTTCATCGTGTTCGCAAAACCTAGACACTATAGGGCGCATTATTTTCGTGGGGATAATTTGCTATGTACTGAATTACTATTACATATTGCTGTTGGTAAACAAATAAATGAACTTATTTCACAGTACTTAGTCATAAAATATTTATTTTTAAGATTGTTAACTGTTACCAATGGTAACAATGGTTACATGGACGCTTCGCCACTGCTGGTGTCACTCGCACCGCTAAGACGAATCCAACGACACCTCCTATGTGAAAATCTATCAAACCGTTTGATCTGTAGCCTATGAAGTAGGAATTACAAGGTTAAAATCTTTTGTTATAATCCACCATTTTGTTTTTTATAAAATTTCAATGTAGTTAGTGTCACTCGCACCGCTAAGACGAATCTAACGTTGGGCCTGTAGGTGAAAATATACACGTTATCCATATCAACCCAAATGATAATCACTCTCCGCGTGACGTCATGCGCGCAGGCGGACGAAAATCGAACAGCGGAGCATACGGCCCTGAATTATACATCTGTGGTTTTATAGGGAGCCATGGAGACTCAGCAGAAAACATTAACTGTAAAAACTAAGTGATCAAAAAGAATCAGTAGTTCTTTGAATTATTGTATCTCACTAAAAAATGGTCCGCTGATGTTCTAAGAGAGTACTTTCTGCACACTGTACAAAACAAAACAAAAAAAGTCTGGGTAGATCAAAGAGAAGTTTTACAGGGTATTGTGGGTATATGAAGCTTCTAAAGTCACACTTGACATTAGCTATTTTGTCAATAATTGCAACTTAGCCCTTGGTTTTCAAAAAAAGATAGTAACCCTGTTTTCCTATTTTTTTACAGACCAAAGCATTTTGTCCATAAACCCAAATAAAGATATATTAGAAAAAGGCATTTTTCGTCACACTTCTCAGGATTGTGTGATACCTGCAGCATCAAAAATTTTAATAAAAAAAGCAAAAACCATACATTTGAAACAATTTTTTACTGAGATACAGCATTGAAAATTTACAATTTTTAGTTGATCCCTTAATTTTTTACCATCGGTGTATTCTAAAGAAGTGTTGATTTCTTACTTCTGAAACCTTGAATGTGGTGAGCCTCTCATATACCAAGAGAAACAGACTGAATATGGTCTTATTGATGTCAGAAAATTCTCCCTTCAAATACTTAGATTGATGGGGCAACACTGGGTTAAGAAGAAAGCTACGTAAAGACACAACAGCTGTAGGCTCAAATAATATTGTGCACCAGAACTGGTGAAAATTACAGTTCAACAGATACTCCAGTGCTCCTATGAACAGGGTGTTATCTGATATAAACGAACTGTTTTCTTCTTTTGATAATGTGAAGATATAAGGTTCAAATTTGTATAGTATGCATTTTGGTAGCCACCTTTTATCCTGCAAGAAAAATTAGATTAGATGCGAGATTTGTTGATAGGATATCTAAATTACCAAGGCAGGTAAAATTATAGCCTTTCTATCGTAAAATTTTTGGCATTTTGGGAGATTAGTTCCATCCTAAAAAAATTATTAGATCACAAATTTAAATGTTAAGTGTATCTTTTAGACTCACCAAATCACTGGGAAGATCTTTTCTTAGTTCCAGATACCTTTTCTCCAGATGGATTATGTTAATTGGTAATTTATTAGGGTTCTGGAATTTAATTGGAGAATAGATAAAAAAACATTCACCAATTGAAATTACCTTAAACACGTTGACGTAGGTGTACTTAATTCCTTCATCATCTGGATCTATGACAGAATTCCCATTAGATTCCATCATTATTTAATATTTTTGGAAAATCTACTGAAAATCAAATCGGTGTCTCAAAAACAACGCCACAAAACATTTATCTGTGACAAAACATCAAATAAAACAGCTCGGACCCAGACTTCTTAATGCTCAAAGGGTCCTAGCAGTGATAATTGAGCGGTGTTGCCAGATCAAGTGTTATAACCTCTGTGTACATTCATGTACGGCTATTAAACCACTCCCACACGACGTGGCGAATGCCTTACAACGTTGGACACATGGCCATTCGCCACATCGTGTGGGAGAGTGCTGACGGAATGCATGTGTCCAACGTTCGCCACATGGCACGTTCTGGCTCTTGTCGGGAAATTTGACCCGCGTCAAAGGACCTTACAACGTTGGAAGCATGGTTCGTTAGGTACGCTCCCACACGAGATGCCATGTGTTTGATGGTTTTAGATTAGCACCAGTAGCGGCGACAAACATTTTATATTTGTTTGTTGTGATTGTGGTGATGTAGTGGTATGTGGGAATTATTTTGATTTGAATACCTACCTATTAATAATAATGTATGTTCATACAAGGTATAGGCTGCCACAACAACACTTTTTTCATATTGCTAATATTTTCTACCTTTCGCAGGTGAGTTATGGCTGGTCTAAGGATATGTATTTTAGTAAAATATAAATTATCAAGTGCTTACAGTTGTTTCACTTTGATGAAATTTTGACCCTAGTTTACTACTATGAAAATGACGAAAAAGCTCTGCAGTTTTTGAATAAGCGCGACTCTGACACCTATAATAGACGTTTTGGTGTCGAACGTTGTATACAACGTTGGAAGCATCGTGTGGGACCTGCATTATGAAAATCAAGGAGGCCATAAAGGCGTCCTATAATTGTAGGAAAGACTGACGATACGGTCCTAAGACAGCAAAACAAGAAACACTCATTTGAATTTCTAAACTTTCCGCATGCACAGTACATAAACTTCTCACCACAGGTTCATCAAAAACTACTGATTAAAAGAAAAACGCCGAGACACGTCAAAAGTTTGTCAAGGGGGATAACCTTTTAACCAAAAACTACTTCACCCCCTTTCACCCTATACCCCCAGGGTCAACCCCTTAAAAATTTTAAATGACATGGGTGTTACGATTTCTATAAAGTATAAAACTGAATTTAAATCAAAATAAAATTCTTAATCATGAGAAAAACACAACAAATTTTCATTGCATAATTACATTCTCTTAGCCAGTCTCAAAAAACAAAAACATATAAACTATGAAACTACATCAGATCGCAGTCTTAAAATAAAACAATCATTACATTAGCTTAGAAAGTGATTTGAACAGAATTTGAACAGACTTTTATATAAATCTGCTGGCTAATAAATAAAACCACATATCTTGATTGGATACTTTGAAAAAGATCACCGTGGTGGTTTAAACGTAAGTAAACCCTTAACTACATCTGCTTTTTTATTTATTGACCAACAGAAGGGAGATGGATTTGAGAGACAACCTTAGGCAAAGTTCAGATGTTATCATATTATAGCGTTTGGATTAAAACACTTGATTCCACAAAAAGAAATGCACTAATTCATTTAACTTGATAAAACATTTATATACACCACTATTTATGTCTGACTAATTCTTATATCATTTACTGTAGTATACTTCTCTCCGCTCTGCTACTCTACCGTATTCAGTACTCTGCCTCCATCTCCTAGTCCCCGAGTTATATATAGTCCCCATTACAGCTTCGAGAAAAAACCGGACGTACCACAAAGCGACATCTAGAATGTTGGAGATCACTTCGCGTCGATCTAGAAGGCGATCCACTGTTACGGTCCTCACAGAGGACTCCAGGCGGCTTGTGCGCCGTGGTTCGCGTAAAAGCAGAGATCGGTAATTAAGCTCTGGCGAGTAGGAGACTCGCCCATCAGATGTCGCTATTACCTTTAATGATAGTCGTATTGCTCGGTTACCTCTGATTCAGGGGTAACGTCGGAGCTTTGGGGTATTGACACAACGGCCCTTGGCCAGCGTGATATCCCGGTTCCTGGACTGTCTTTTTGTAACAATCGTTATACTCAGCACGTCTGACCATACACCTAGCGACCAAAGAGTTAGAATGAGTCTGTGTGACGACTCCTATTAAGTCTGTGTGATGACTTAATGACCAGTCTGTGTGATGACGGTCAGGGTCAGTCTGTGTGATGACGATCCCGTGATTCAGTCGATGACGAATCCGTAATAGTAGTTGGGGTACATTAATGTAATGGTAAATAGTAGATTTGTGCATGTGATGTCATGAGTCGGTTGAATACGGGAGATACTCATAAGTCTTATTCTAAAAATAGGTGTTGGCCCCGACAATCCGATCATATCGCCCTTATCGCTTGCCAAAGGAGGATAACTCGTTGTCGTTTCGTCACCAAGTAAATGACTTTAATACTACCCTGACATTGTTGCCCATACAGAATTGTTTACGTACTGCCCATGTAGTAAAAATGTAATGGTACGGGGCGGTACTTCGAGATCTTCTAAGATGAGATGTTTTCACGTTTATCGTTATATTGCTATTATCATATTATCAATTTCGTATCCTACACTCCTATATATGGTAACGCCATAACAGTTTATACTATAACAAATCCGTAAAAAACACAAAAGACTCTGTATTGGGAACTGTGTTTACAAAATCGTACGATTGAAATCATTTGTAGGTTAGAAATCTCGCACGGCGAATGGAGAAACACCTACCATTTGGCAGGCGTTTTCAAACCTGCCAGCGTGCGCTGAGCACTTTTGGATTACGCATAGCGTTAACAAACGTAAATACCATTTTTGTTGATTCGTTCATATGGTGTACGAATATGAGGTCATCACACGGTGTGCGAGCGCGGAACGGCAAGCGTATTGAGTTACGAGAATACGGGTCCTGAGGCGCGAACAGCCACAGTCACACTTCTTAGTTTATTTTTAAAGCACAGAAGCACTACAACTGGAGTCTATTTCTCATATATTATAGTCACCGATCACTTTGAACACATACACACACTTTGAAGCTTAGAAAACAAGCTTATCTCTTAATTACAGCCTCTTGGATTCCCAAATCACAAATTGAAAAGGTTATGTTTTCTCAGCGTTTTGAGCACGAGTTGCGTCGATGCAGCAAGCAGCGGCGGGAGTAACACTACCACCTACGTTGCCAGATTTCTTTGTTCACGGCTCGTAGTTGACGTCGGCTGTGCTCGTACTAATGGGTGATTTTTTTGCTAGTATCTTTTTGGCAACACTGTTTTTGACAGATGACGCGTGAATCGTGTCTTGTTTAGACTCTATAATTTAACCATGAATCGACTTACGAACGAACAACGCTTGCAAATTATTGAATTTTACTATCAAAATTCATGCTCGGTTAAGAGAGTGCATCAAGCACTGCTTCACTGCTGGGCAATTTGGTCGGCCTACTGAGGGAGCTATTCGGAAGCTTGTGACTAAATTTCGAACCCAGTTTACATTATTGGACATTAAACCACCAACACGCAGACGTAGAGTGAGGACTGAAGAAAATATTGCCGCTGTATCCGCCAGTGTTAGTGATGACCGTGAAATGTCGATTCGCCGCCGTTCGCAGCAATTGGGCCTCTGTTACTCCACTACGTGGAAAATTTTGCGACAGGATTTGAGTGTAAAAACTTATAAAATACAGCTGGTGCAAGAATTGAAGCCACACGACCTGCCACAACGTTTCCAATTTGGTGAATGGGCGCTGGCAAAGTTGGAGGAAGATCCACATTTCTATCGAAAAATTGTGTTCAGCGACGAAGCTCATTTCTGGTTGAATGGGTACGTTAACAAGCAAAATTGCCGCATCTGGAGTGAATACCAGCCAGAAGCATTGCAAGAGCTACCAATGCATCCCGAAAAAATCACTGTTTGGAGTGGATTATGGGCCGGTGGCATCATCGGACCGTACTTCTTCAAAGACGACAATGGCCGGAACGTAACTGTGAATGGCGAGCGCTACCGTGCGATGATAACAAACTTTTTTTGCCCAAAATGGAAGAGCTGGACTTGGCTGACTTGTGGTTTCAACAAGACCGGTGCCACATGCCACACCGCACACGAAACAATGTCCCTATTGAGAGGCGAGTTCGGTGAACAGTTTATCTCACGTTTGGAACCCGCCAATTGGCCGCCTAGATCGTGTGATTTAACGCCGTTGGACTATTTGTTGTGGGGCCATGTTAAGGCTAATGTCTACAGGGATAAACCAGCAACGATTGACGCACCGGAAGCCAATATTGAAGCATTTATTCGTGAGATACCGGCCGATATGTTAGAGAGAGTGTGCTAAAATTGAACCTTGCGCATGGGCCATCTAAAGCGGAGTCGCGGCCAACATTTACATGAAAGAATCTTTAAACATTAAATTATATCGACCGTTCTATCGACTCAAATAAAGATTTAATCGTTTTTTCAAGTTTTTTGTGTTTTTTTTAAATCAAATCCTATACCTCTTAAAAAATCACCCGTTACTACTACTACCTCCCCCAAGTGGGAGCGCCACAATAGATGTCAAATGGCCCCCTACAAAAAAAATTTATGGCGTCAAATCAGGAGATGCAGTAGGCGATTTCATAGGCCCTCTTCGCCCTATCCATTTATCTGGAAACTCATCGTCTAGCTATTGCCATTTCAAAATGACCCAAAACTTCAATTTGAGCGGGTTCATCCAACGGGGCTTTCAGAATTTTAGTGATTCTAACTCACTGCGAGTATACATCGAGTATGTGGAATCAGGTGCAGTAAGAGCGAAGTTGCCTGTCAAGTTTTGCTGATCTGTGATGCAACCTATAAATGTCAAATTTTCTGAAAATTTGGCGCCCTCTATAAATGCAGATTGAAATCCCAGCAACTTGACAACAAAAGACATTTACCGCAAAAAAGTAGGGTTTTTGTGACGAAAAATCCATGAATCAAACGAGTTTATTTGAAAATCCTTGCGCGGAGTGAGAAAAATAATCATTTTAGTGTATAGGTTTCGTGTGAAAGTATGAAGAGGCGAAATGCTGAGATTGCCAAAATGAGAAGACCCGTGAAAAAGAACAAAATCACTGAGGGATTTTACGGAAGGTACGTTTTCCTCGTTTAGACTATGACTGTGCGCATTGCATGGTATATGATACGGTCACAGTCTGTGATTTTCGATCCCATATGTGTTTCAAAATGGCTGGTTTCCCTAAACAAATGATATTTTGGAAAGTTTCCCATGGGATAACATCGCCATATATGGCAATTATTGCATCCCAGTATTTTTCAACTTGAAAATTTAAATTCGTAGGTGCAAGGTATTTCCGAAATTTCGTGTAGTAGGTTATAATAGCAGCTGTCAAAACAGTTTATTTTTACACTTCTGGCAGCAATTTTTGGACTGCAGTTGTGCCACAAACTACTAAGGATATGTTAACAATTTTTAGTTTCACAATACCCAATAAGATACTGTTTATCACTTGAGATTCCACATTATTTATGTTTATGTATTACAGGATGTTGTAAATACACACATCATCAAAAGTGTTGGAACCCCTGGCGTACTGGTAAACTATAGCCTTCTAATTTCAATCTTTGATATATTTTAAATTGGGGATATTTTTACTAAGTATATTTATTTAGCAAATTGTTAAATTAATTTCATTAATATGAAAAGAAAAAGAAAGCTGAACAAGTAAGGTACCAAAAATTTTATTTTTAAAAATGAGCATTAAAGAAAAATTATTATTTTAAACAAAAATAAAACATAATTAATAACCAGTTCGATGTCCTCTAGATCTTAGCTGTGCATTAACACACCTTGGCATTCCTATTATTTGGTGGTTAATTTTTTCTTGGGGTAAATTATTCCACTCTTCATTTACTGCTGCAGCCAGCTCATTTAGGGTTGTAGGTGGATCTATTCTGTTCCGTACAGCTCGAGCTATAGTGTCCCAAATGTTTTCAATGGGGTTCATGTCTGGACTGTGTGCAGGCCATGGCAATCTCAGTATTTGGCCCATTTCTAGAGCCCACTGGACCCTTCTTGCTCTATGTGGCCTTGCATTATCATCCATAAAAATGAAGTTGTTACCGAATTCATTTCGCAAAGGTTGAATAATGGGTTGTATGACATTTTCTTCATAAATTTCTACAGTCATTGTCCCCTGGATATGAATTAAAGGACTTCGGTGGTTAAACATTATGCCTCCCTAAAACATTATTGATCCGCCCTGATATGGGACAACTTCTCGGGCCAAATTTAGAAGCTGTTGATGTCCTGGTTCTCTCCAAACCCTTATTCTACTGTCATCACTCACCAGTCCAAACCTAACCTCATCTTAAATACCTCATTCGCCACTGAGGTAAAAGCCACTCCTGATGTTCTCTAGCCCACTGGAGACGAGCAGCAATTTGTCTACGAATAAGACGTGGAACCCTTAAAGGTCTTCTAGAGTGCAAATTTGCCAGCTTGGAAGAGGGCTACTATTCGTGTTCTATCAGAACCAGAAATTTCAGCTCGCGGCATTTTAAAAGTTACAGTATAAAATTTTATTTTAATACTTTTTGCTCAAACAGTACCGTTAAACTAACCTATATCTATAAAAACCCAAACACATTTTTATCTCAACGGTTTTTTGCGTTTTTTGCTTGCTAAATATATAAAGATTTTTTGTTCACAAACAGAATGTAGATAAGGTACCTCCAGAGGGATTTATCCAGGGTCCAACACTTTTGATGATGTGTGTACTTTAATATTATCCAACACTCTTTAGTAAAAGGTGATTTCAATTTTTTTCTTCAACTAGCATCCTTTCATATAATCTTATGTTGCTCATTATTAATTTGTTTGTATCAAATTACTATAACTACACAGAAGTCTATCATTCTTCCTATAAATATGTTATTTAAATTAAATTATTCTGCATTTATGTACCTTGCTTGAACCACTATTCAAAGATGAAGCTCTGGATGCTTGTAACAGTAAAATAATATTTAACTCAATTTTTTTTTTATATCGAAACAGCCGCGCAGGCAGAAGCCTAAATGCCGGAACACCGCGGCTGCTATGATGATCCCAAAGAAATTTTGTTAATACGATTTTGGAACTGCCCAAGGTTAGTAGAACTGGGAAAAGCTTCCTCTTGTAGGTTGTTCCACAATCTAGACACCCTCGGGACAAAGGAGCGGTCGTATCTGCCAGTTCTGGATGTCCGAAGTTTGACACGGTTAGGATGGGACGCTGAAGTCAGGCGGGTCTGTCTGGCAGGTACATCGCGCGGCGGCATCATGGAAGAGAGCTCTGAGGAGCAAAGCCCGTTGGTGTAGCGATAGAAAAGAGCTAGATCGCCGACGGCCCGTCGGTGCGAAAGAGTTCCGAGACTGTCTGTTAGAGAAGAGTCATCGATCAGTCGGACCGCCCTCCTCTGGACAGCATCGAGCATGGACAATGTGGTCGGGGCGGCAGCACCCCAAATGTGTGAGCAATACTCGAGGCTAGGCCTTATCTGGGCCTTGTATAGAGTGAGAAGGTCATGCGGAGAAAAGTACTTCTTAGCCCTAAACAAATAGCCTAGCTTTTTCCCAGCAGCTGCAGCTATTGACGAGATGTGTTCGTGCCATATCAGGTCCTCGGTGATCTGGACTCCGACTAGCCGAAGTGAATGGCTCTTTGGTAGAACTCGGCCGTCCATCGAAACTGTATGAGCGCTAGGACGCTTTTTGTTCGTCAAAGTACAGTACTGTGTTTTGGAAGCATTGAACTGTACAAGATTGTTGCGTCCCCAAGCAGTGATAGCCTTCAGGTCCCTTGTCAGAGAAGAAGTCGTCGCTAGTCTTCTTTTTTCCAGCTCAGCGGCAGAGATCGGCTTGTCACTCTGAATTCCTGCATGTAGAGTGCTGTTATCAGCGAAACTGTGGATTGGGTTGATCGTGCAGGAAAGGAGGTCGTTGATATGTAAGAGAAACAGTGTTGGAGCCAAGACCGATCCCTGGGGAACACCCGCGTTGACGTTCTGGGATGAAGAGGAGAATCCGTCAATTACGACGGATAGCTTGCGGCCAGAGATAAAGTCCCCATCTGCAAAGCCTTTCTGGGATGCCATAGGATGGAAGTTTGCTTAAGAGGGCAGCGTGCCACAGCTGATCGAACGCTTTCATGATGTCAAGAGCAACGACATGAGCCTCACCATGAGACTGGATGAGTTTACTCCACAATTGCGTGACGTAAGCTACGAGGTCCCCTGTGGATCGTTGGTGCCGGAAACCGTACTGCCTGTCGCTAATCAAGCTGTGACGTACGAGGTAGTCCAAAAACAGAAAGCAGAGCTATAGGCCTGTAGTTGTAAGGGTCGGTCTTAGATCCTTTTTTTGGGATGGGCTGGACATGAGCAAATTTCCAGTTTTCTGGGAAGGTGCCGGATTCATACCTGGAAGAGACGCGAAAGAACTGGAGCAAACTCCGGTGCACACCTCTTCAGTACAATCTCAGGAATCAAGTCCGGACCAGAAGCTTTGTTGATGTCGAGCGACAAGAGCACTCGTCTTACGGTCTTATGCCTGAATGTTACCTCCCGCATAGTGTGGGGAACCCTTTGAATTGACGGCACTTGGGCGTTGGTGGGGACGTCCATGGTGGAGTTGGCAGCAAAGATCTTGGCTAGCACTTCCGCCTTGGCCTTTGAGTCGAATACAATAGTTCCATCCTGACACGTAAGTGGTGGAAGGCTACTGTGTGAGAAGTTCTTTTCAATCTGCTTGGCCAGCGTCCAGAAAGACCGACTGCCATTGCGCTGCGATATTACCCTGTGCCTAACTTTTATATCGTGCTGGTTTTTGGCATTGCGAACCGCTTCGTTATATTTGTTTCTGGACTCGACGTCGGCTTGTTTATTCTCTACAGTGGGGTTTTTTTAAGTAGGTTCTGTGTGCCTTGATCTTCTGCTGGCCTGGCGAGCAGTGTCACATGATTTGTTAAACCAGCCGTTGGACCCTGGTTTAGGAACTTTCACTGTGTGAGGGATGTATTCCTCCATTCCGACGTGGATAATTTCGGTTATCGAAGAACAGACAGTCGACGCAACCGCGTCAGTGAAACAGACATCTCTCCAAGGAAAGCTAGAGAAGAAGTCTCTGAGCCCCTCCCAGTCGGCATGTCCGTAATGCCAAGTTTTGCGGCCTGTACGAGTTTCTGCTGCCACATCGGCTTCTGATCGAAACATAACCTCCACAACACCGTGGTCTGAGTTACCCAGGGGGGACACGGCAGCAGTGCTGTGAGGGACAGGATGCATGGTCAGAAAGAGATCCAGCAGGCTACTGGCGTGTGACTAGATGCGGGGGAAAAAAGTAGGGCTCGTCACCAGCTGGGTCAGCCCTTGAGTAAGAGCGAACGCTTCGACTGCACGACCTGCTGCATCGGTCTTATTTGAGCCCAACCAAAGCTCAATTTAACAGGTTAGGCACCACGGCGGACACCGTTGTCCGATTTGTGATCAGCCTCCTGGGCCACGGCGGACACCGGTGTCCGCTTGGCTTTCAAATTTTTATCATCTCCCGGCCAGGCGGACACGCTTTTATGCGGTTTGGCGTAGTAACATGTCTGCCATAGCACTGCAACATAAAACGCAGACACCAGGTTTTATGTAGCAATGTTTTCCAGAGAAATCTGGTGACATTATTATTGTAATATCAAATAAATATTTATATATTTATTTCACTTATTTATTTATCTATGGAGATAAAATAAACATTTAATAAACAAAGTATATTGAACAAAAAAGTTTTGCTAATATATATCTACATTTATTACGTAAAAATTTTAACGAGTTTTGTGAACTAAATTAAAACATTCCAGACAAAATCTAGGGTTATCTTCGCACTGTGCACAATAAATTATTACTTTTTTAACTTCAATCTCCCTGTAAATGAAATGGGCATTCACAATTGAGGTAAATAATAAAATTTAAATAGCAACTTACTTTCATAGTCGTTTTTTCTCTCCAGAGCTAATTGTAATATCCTCTTTCATCGTTTGATCGCCCATTCATTTTTATTTCAAAAAGTTTCATTTTACGCTCAAAACTTCAGGAAAACGGTGCAAC